GACCTGAGCCGAAGGCAGTCGCTTAACCAACTGAGCCACCCAGGCGCCCTGTAACACTTTTTTTTTAAGATTTTATTTATTTGACAGAGAGAGAGCACACAAGCAGGGGGAGCGGCAGGCAGAGGGAAAGGGAGAAGGAGAAGCAGGCTTCCCACTGAGCAGGGAGCCCGAGGTGGGGCTCGATCCCAGGACCCTGGGATCACGACCTGAGCCGAAGGCAGACGCTCAACTGACTGAGCCACCCAGGCGCCCCTTATGTAACACTTCTGAACGGACCCTAGACTCCAGTCCATTTAGAAAGAAAGGATATGCCAGGAGTTTGCTGCGGGCTATCCCCTGCAGAAAGATCCTGTGACGCAGCACTGCCAAGGGCCTTCTTCTCTATATAGAGATTCCTTGGTTGTACGTACCAGACACTCACAGCTAGTTTAATAATAATAAGGCAATTAATTAAAAGGAATAGGTGTGGGGCGCCTGGGTGGCTCAGTCGTTAAGCGACTGCCTTCGGCTCAGGTCATGATCCCAGGGTCCTGGGATCGAGCCCCACATGGGGCTCCCTGCTCAGCGGGAAGCCTGCTTCTCCTTCTCCCTTTCCCTCCCCCGCTTGTGTTCCTTCTCTAGCTGTCTCTCTCTGTCAAATAAATAAAAATAAAATCTTAAAAAAAAAAAAAAGAAAGGAATAGGTGTATTCATCTCATAAAGGTCAAACAGTGGGGCCTGAAGAGGCGCCGGGACAAGGACTGGAATGCCATCAGGAACTTAAGCAACTGTTTCTTAATCATGCTTCTGCTCATCTCGCCAGGTAATGCTTATCTACTGCTGCTTCTCCCTCTGAAAACAAGTTTTCCTGCTTCTAAGTGCACAACTACCAAGTTCACATGTTTACTCTTCAAGTGACCGGCAGAGATGGACTGGCATCTCCAGGTCCCAATTCCAAAGTCTTGCAAAAATCGAATTGGCTAGGGCGCCTGGGTGGCTCAGTTGGTTAAGCGACTGCCTTTGGCTCAGGTCATGATCCTGGAGTCCCTGGATCGAGTCCCGCATCGGGCTCCCTGCTCGGCAGGGAGTCTGCTTCTCCCTCTGACCCTCCTCCCTCTCATGCTCTCTGTCTCTCATTCTCTCTGTCTCAAATAAATAAATAAAATCTTTAAAAAAAAAAAATCGAATTGGCTAATCCTGGATGAGGTAGGTAGTTGCTGCAAGTCTTTCAAAGTACAGCACAGTGGGTGAGAGCATAACTCAAGCCAAACTCCAGAGGAGTTCTCGGAAGTGGAGGCAGGGTACAGAGAATCCCAATTTGCATTTTGTTCTGGGAGTCCATGGAACCTAAGTGAAATCCAAGAGATTAGTCAGCTCCTCTTACAATTCATGTATTAAGAATATTAAACAGAGATTGTAGAATTACAGTTTGTGGTTCAAACCCAGACTACAGACCTCTTTTGTTTGGCCCATGTGGTATTTTTAATTTGTTTTTATTTTTTTAATGTTTTTCTGTTTGTTTGTTTTTTAGTCATCTCTACAGCCAATATGGAGCTCAGACTCACTACCCTGAGATCAAGAGTTGCATGCTCTTCCAACTGAGACAGCCCGGAGCCCCCTGACCCATGTGGTATTTTAAAAAATGAGAAATTTTATGTAAAAAGTAAAATAGCAAAATTATTCACAAAAATCTACTGAATTTGGTAGTTAGAAGTCATGAGTGTTCTTAACGTGAACAGGAAATGAAATTCACTGTTCACTACTGATTAAAGGTCCTAGACTTAGTGAAGTTACATGTTAAATTGTAGATTTATGTCCAGTAGGGATGCAAATCCCTACTTTCTTTTCAGTGGAATGGATACTCCAAAGGTTATATATGGCTTATTACCCTGGTAGGACATTAGCCAGTTTGTATCTAACTTTGCAACCCTACATTAACATTCCCTTGTTAAACTACAGGCACTTAGGAGTGCCCGTGTGGCTCAGTCTGTTGAGCGTTCAATTCTTGGTTTCGGCTCAGGTCATGATCTAAGCGTTGTGAGATCGAGCCCCGTTTTAGGCTCCATGCTCAGTGTGGAGTCTGCTTGAGATGCTCTCCCTCTGCCCCACCCCCCACTCTCTCTCAAATAAAATCTTTAAAAAAATAGAAATAAATTGCCTCTAAGGATCCATTATGCAAATACACTTTGATAACAGTTTTAACATTTTACTGGTTCCCTCATTAAGTGAGTTGAATAAAATATTTGTCACATGTTCCTTTTATATTTGCGAGGGATTCTTGATTTCACCTTTTTGAAATTCTACCATAACAAAACTTTTGATTACTGTCAAAGGCAGACAGAACAAAATCTTTTAAAAGTTTACTTGCAAGGAAAATTTGCAAGGAAGTTCAGGCTTTAGCACGGGCTCACCAAATAGAAATTGTAGTATTTAAATGACAAAAATAAAAATAAAATGCAGATTGCCAGGTGTATTAAATTAATTCAAGCAAATTTACTGACTGCCTAATGTGCCAGTCTCTAAGTGCTAGAAATGAGGTGAACAAAAAGATCCTACCTCAGAAGTTTTAACTTTAACACGGAATTTTTCTCAAACTCAGAGAAAACTACTGACATTTTGGGCCAAAGAGTTCTTTCTTGTGGGGGCTGTTGTGCATACTGTAGGATATTTAGTAGCATCCCTGCCCTCTCCCCACTAGATATTAGTAGTATTTTGCCAGTTGTGACAACCAAAAATGTCTCTAGACATTGCCAAATGTCTGGGAGGAAGGAGTAAGCAAAATGTCCACAATTGCCCCCAATTGAGAGTGACTGTTGGGAAGACTAATAAATTGCAGGTATTAATAAGTACTATGAAGAAAAACAGGGTAAGAGGGTGGAGAGAAATGGTGAGTGATGGGGATGAGGTTGATAGGATGGTTTTTGATATGTAAACTTGGCTAGCCTACACTCCCCCGTGATTCAGCCAAAAAGTAAGTGTTGCTGTGTATTGTGCACATAGTAATTAAAGCTCTTAATCATTTAGCTTTGAGGGAGATTATCTGGGATAATCTGGGTGGGGCTAATTGAGTCAGTTGAAAGGCCTTAATACAGGGCTGAGATTTACTTGAGAGAAGAATGGAATTCTTCCTTCCCTGACTTCTGTGGCTCAAAGCTTCAACCTGTTCTCATGGCACCCAGCCTGCCTATAATCCATTTTTGCTTGTGTGGCCTAAGGATTTTGGACTTGCTTAGCCAGTTCTAACAATTGTATAGGTTAATTCCTTGCAATAAGTATCTGCTACTGATTCTGCTTCTCTGATCGAAACCTAACTAATACAGCTGGGAAGAGCAGCCCTTAGGGTTACTTTTGAGAGACTTGAGTAAAATGAAGATCTACGGGATGATCTACGGGATGGTCTGGAGGAAAAGCACTTCAGAGAGAACAGCATAGAGTACAGACTTTGAGGTGAGGGCAAACTCTGTGGATTCAAGGACAACATGCCAATGCTTAAACCAGGGAGAGGGAGGAGCAGTGAGAGAAGAGTTCTGTGAGACGAGACATGATACTCATCATAAAGGTGAGATAAGATCATATAGTATATGTTAGGTCATGGTAAGGAGTCTGCGCTTAGTCTAAGCCCAACAGGAAGTTATTGGGAGGTTGTTTACCAAAGGGATATAATGATTTGAAAAGATTACTCTGGCTGCTCTGTGGAAAACTGTAAAGGCACGGGGCCGGGGGGGGGGGGGGTGGAAAGAAACCAGTTAAGAGGCTAAAACATCCAGATAAAATAATTACGGCTTGGTCTTCAGTGGTAGCAGTGGAGGTTGTGAGAAGTGGTTTGATTATCCACATATTTTGTAGATAAGGACACTAAATCTTGCTATAGGATGGGAGGTAGGACCTGAGATTGAAGACTCAAGTATGATTCCTTGGCCTGAGCAATTAGGAGCAGGAGGTAACCATTCACAGAGCGGGAGAATAATTGGAGAAACTGATTTGAGGTGAGAAGATGATTGGGAGGAGATTTTTGTTGTGTGTGTGTGCAGTTTTTGTTTTTGTTTTTTTTTTCAGATAAGCTAAATTGGATGTACTTCTCAGACATCCAAGTAGAGACAGAGTCTGGAGCTCAGAGGAGAGGTGTTGCTGAAGACACTGATTTGGGAGTCACTGGATAATAGATGGTATTTAAAATCTTCTAAGTTTAGTTAAAAATAGAACTACCCTATGACCAAGCAATTGCACTACTGGATATTTACCCCAAAGATACAAATGTAATGATCCGAAGGGGCACCTGCACCCCAATGTTTATAGCAGCAATGTCCACAATAGCCAAACTATGGAAAGAGCCCAGAAGTCCATCAACTGATGAATGGATAAAGATGTGGTTCATATATACAAAGGAATATTATGCAGCCATCAAAAGGAATGAAATCTTGCCATTTGCAACAATGTGGATGGAACTAGAGTATATTATGCTAAGCGAAATAAGTCAGAGAAAGGCAAATACCATTATGATTTCATTCTTATGTGGAATTTAAGAAACAAAACATGAACATGGGGGAAGGGAAAGAAAAATAAAGTAAGATAAAAACAGAGAGGAAAGCAAACCATAAGAGACTCTTAAATACAGAGAACAAACCCATGGTTACTGGATGGGATAAAATGGGTGATGGTAAGGAGGGCACTTGTTGGGATGGGCACTGGGTATTATATGTAAGTGATGAATCACAAAATTTTACTCCTGAAACCAATACTACACTATATGTTGACTAACTTGAATTTAAAGTTTAAAAAAAGACCAGTAATAAAAATAAACACATACATACATACATACATCAAATCTCTATTTAGGCTATCTGGCAGTAGGGGGAGTTGCCCCAGGTGTATAATCAAGCAAATCAGAAAAATCACTGCATTAGGTCAACCTTTTGTGCAGTGCAATGGGCTATTTGTTCTTATTTAATTAAGTATAAGTAATTCCAGGCTTTGGGCTGGACAACTTTTTAAGAAACAGGAATAATTAACATACAACAAAATGCACAGAACTTAGGAGTTCATTCTATCAATTTTGACAATTGTATCAGTGTAACATTTCATCTTCTTGGGAAAATTCCTGCCTACTTAAATATAACTTTTAGCTAAGTGTAACATACAAAAAAAAAAAAATTGCACTCCAGTGTATAGCTCCATGAAATTTCTACAAAGGGAACATACCTGCAACCAACATCCAAATCAAGACATAGGACATTATATAAACCTCAAAAGCCTCCTTGTGGTTTGTCATTGTCCTCCCCATCCAAGGAAAGACTATCCTGATTTTTAACACCATAACTAATGACTTTTGCTGGTTTTACACTTCATTTCAATAAAACCAAACGATGTAAACTCTATCTGGCTTCTTTCCCTTAACGTCAGGTCCGTGACATTCATGCATCTTATAAGTAATTGCAGTTTGTCTATTTTTGTACTGCACTCCAGAAGCTTCTTCACCATGACAATGGCCAGCCTGCATTTTTCTAGTAGCTTTTTTCCTTCTCAGACTTCTAATCGTTGCCTCGGGCGATAAAGCTGAGTGAGGGTTATTTGATTTCCCAGAGATTACTGTTTGTTCCCAATCCTGTTGCAGACGTTTTAAGGGTGCCCAAGGCTAAAATAATCTGAAAAGAGGAGGAACATAATGTAATCCCAGGAAAACTCAGCCTACATTTTCTCTGGTTAACAGCCTCAGATCGAATTCAAACCTGGGTTAGAATTAGAGAGTTGCAGAATGTTCGGTGAAGGGACGACGGTACCGCAGAAGCAATTCAACAGTCAAGGAACAAAGGGGGAGCCACAATTGCGGCGGAAGACCGGGGAGCCTGGCAGACGCTTTAACCCCTGGCAGCGCTACTGGGTCCCGTCACGTGGCCAGAACCCCACCGCCCGTGGCGCTCCGTGATGATGCCACCACATCGCAGATGCTACATCGTGGTGACGTCTCCAGAGCGTCAGAACCCACTGAAAATCGAACTATTCCCTTCAGGATTCTCCACGCTGACCGTCTTCATTCTTTCCTGTTTTGGCATAAAAAGGCTGCCCCTTCTCCCCCTCTTTGGTCCTTTTCTCACAGACGCTCACAAATTAGCTTTAGATAAGATGGCTGCCTAGCCGACCCGGTGCCCTAGAGGGGACGGAATCAGCCAACTCTCTAGTCAACTTCCGATTTGGACCCCCGAAGACCAGTACGTTATTTCCGGGGTTGCGTTAAGGTACGCCAAGACAGCGGTTCTGAGCTGCGTCTGCGCAGCCGGGACACGCGAGGTCAAAGTATAACACGTACAGTTGCCCGGGCGGGGAGGAAGAGGCGTTACTCTTCTCGAGCTGCTGGTTTGCTCGCGAGAGTTGAGCGTTGCTAGGAGGCTCGGCGGGCGGGGCGGGGCCAGGTTCGGCGGGGCGGGGCTAAGGGAGGCGGGCGGTGCGCGCGCGCGCGGGAGGGGGGGCTAGGGGGTGGTGGGGCGGCGAGGGACTCGCGAAGGTTCCAGAGGCGCCGCGTGCGGGAGGCGGGCCGGGTCTCGCGCCGGGTCGGGTGTGCGCGCAGGCTTGGAGAGCTGCGACTCGTGCGGGTGGGGCCTGCGTCCGGGTAAGCGCGTTCGGTGCGGTGTTTCCTGTTCTCTCCCCTGCGTGTCTGCAGCTCGGGCCTTGCCTAATCAGCCCGACCATGGCTTCAGCTTTGGAAGAGGTAAGGGTCCGGCTTCATCTTCCTCACTTCGGCCGTGCGGGGCTTTGAGCGCCGTCGCCCCGTACTCGCGCCCGCTCCCCGCCCTGTATCCCTAGCTGAGGTGCCCGGCGGCCGCCTCCCTAGCTCCCTCCTGTGTCGTCGGGTCCCTGAGCTTCTTCTCGGCCGCCCAGCCGCCCACCCGCAGCGGCCTCCCCCGGCTTCCGGCCTCCGTTGCCCCGGGAAAGTTGTCGATGGACACCCGGCGCTCAGCCCCGGCCTTGCCGGTGGTCCCTGCCCCGCGGGCTGGGTGCTCGGGGCAGTGTCGCGGTCCCCGGCTGCAGGTAGTGCCCGCGGTGGACCTGGGCGAGCTGGTCACCTTCACGTTTTCCTCAGGCTCCGTCAGCCCCTGCTAGACGAGCCCGGGAAGGTGAAGCTGCTTTTGCAGAAACCGAGGGTCATTCCACCCTAGAAGGCGGTTGGAAGGTGAGAAGTCTTTGCTTCCAGCACTTGACTTCTCCTAGTCCTGTTTTCTCAGTGCACATGAGTAGCTGGGTTACTTCGGGCAAGTTATTGCGCGTCTCTGTGCCACAGTAGTATCCATTTCATAGTTAGACCAGCTAATAGTCCTAAATGTTGAAAACAGTGCTTGGCAAACAGCAATCTGCTAGATGCGTTTTAAAAATAAATTGAAAGGTTGTAACTAGCGGTGGGAAATAGCCTTTTTCTCTTTTAAGGTCTATGAACTCTGAACCAGGGGCGTCTTAACTTTTTTGAAGACTTAGTTTGCACAGTTACACAATAAGAATAATACTTGCATTGCTCTTTTCCTGGCCTAAGTAGGATGTCAGTACATGATACTGTTATTCACAGTAAAGTGTTGGGTATTAACTAGATTTGTTTTCTGGAGATCTCTTCCTCAATATGAACAAGGCCAAGAAATCCCATACTTGACTTGGAAACATCTTTAAATGAAGAAAATGTGTGTGTGTATGTGTGTATTATACTGGATACCTTGCCCCAGGTTTATGTTACGTGTTAAAGATAGGCCTTGGGTGTCCGTGTGCCCTGAGGAAACAGTCTCTGCAGTGACTTCACAGTCACACATGTGGATAGCTCAGTTATTAATCCTCTTCGAAATAAGGGATTTTTCTCAGTTGAGGTACTTTAAAATACACTTAGGGACACTTCAGAGGTTGTTTTTGTTTGATATAAAATTCACTGTTTAGCCATTTTAAAGTGTCTATTTTTAGTACATTTAGTGTTGCACAACTATCACTACTGTATAATTCCATATTTTCATCATCCCCAAAAGAGACCTATTAAGTGTCTGTTAAGCAGTCCCTTCGTACTTCCGCTCCCTCCAGCAACCACTAATTACTTTGTCTCATGGATTCGCCTATTCAGGACATTTCATGTAAATGGAATCTTACAGAATGTGGCCTTTTGCTTTTGGCTCTTTTCACTTAAGATAATCTCTAGTTCATCCATGGTGTGGCAGGTGTTCCTTTTTATGGCCGAATAGTATTCCATTATATGGATATACCACATTTTGTTTCTCCTTTATCAGTTGATGGACATTTGGATGATTGATTTTTGGCTATTATGAACTATGCCGCTATGAATACTGTGTACAGCTTCTTATGTGGACATGTATTTTCAATTCTGTGAGGTACGTACCCAAGAGTGGAATTGTAGGAGCCTGTGAACTCTTTCAAAGTGGCTGCACCACTTTACATTCCCATAAGTTACGTATGAAGGTACCAATATCTGCCCACCCTCTTAACACTTGTTATTTGGGGGAGGGGGGTTGATGTTAGCCATCCTATTGTGATTTTGATGTGCATTTCCTAAATGACTAAGATTGTCGAGCATCTTTTCATGTGCTTGATGGCTGTGTTCAAGTCCTTTGCTCATTTTGAGGCACTTTGGTTTCAGTGCTTCCTGGTGAAGAACTCAGAGAAGAAAAAGCTTGAATGTGTTTATGGGTGGGGATAAAAGGGATGCGTGATGTTGCATAAGGAAAACAAATGAATGCTAAGGTAAATTAGATGAGAAACTGCTTTATCTATGACATCTTCAAGTATGTGTGCAGGAAAAGTACCAAAGGGATCAATTTTACTGGTTTCAGGTCTGCAAATAATAGAACTGTGGAATTAAAAACAGGCCTGTTGGAAGGTTGCTTCAGACTTAGAGTGGCTCCCTTCCTTTTGTAGTACAAGAGAGCCAAAACTGGCTGTAAAGAGGGACTGAGAATCCCTTGCTTAATTCTCAGAGTTAAGAAGCCTGCTAGAAAAAAGATTCCTATCCAGTCAAGAAATAAAACATCTTGTTTAAGACTTGATATATTTTCTATTTTTTGTTGTTGTTAACTGAATCCTTACTGAGGAACAAATACACTGTTTTTACATTTCAATATTTTTATCATATTGGTAATAGAATCTGTGAATTTTTAAGATCATAATAAGATACTGCTTTGAACGAAGGCATCTTGGTTCTGTTCTCAAAAGATGAAATTGCAGGATTCTTTGTCTTAGCAGTATGGGTTTTGGGGTGAGAGGAGTAGATAATAAACATCCTAGTAGTTACTGATAAGTGAAATGAGGGCGTCAGAGTTAAATGGATAAGGGTAAAAAGCATTTGTTTTTCTGTTATTACATTTTGTAAGACTTAAGAAACAAAGACTTTAAAATTCCACTTGGACATTATACTGAGTTATCAAGCATTTAAAGATTTTTATATTGAGGTTTTTTTATATGCTCTGAGGCTATAGTATATAATGTCAAATTGCTATTATCAAGCCAGAATGTAAAGTTATTTTAAGAAAAATGAAACCCTTGTTTGTAAGGATCTTATGCATTTGCAGTATGTCAGAGGATAACGGGGGAAAGGTTTTAAGCTGATTAATTATAATTATCTAATAGTGTCTTTAACTCTTGAACGTCATAAAATGTTGGCCCTCTCTCTAGAAAGTAGAAATAGACACTGGTAGGCAATGTATTGGCATGAGGAGAAAAGAACAGGTGGTTTTTTTCAGTGATCAGGACTGTGTCGCATTTTGGATTGTTTGCCTAGGTTTTTCTCCTCTGTGGTGCAACCAAGACCCAGACTTTTGACTGCAACGTTAACCTGGAGATTCAGAACAAGACTTTTTCTTAAAAGCTGAAATGTCTTTATTTTTTTTATCTCTTAAAAACGCAAACTTTTTAATGTGTAGTATTTGGGGTAGGAACCAGTGAGGAACAATCACAGAAAGTAGACTACCTCAGTAAAGTTGCTGTAGCATTTCACCATGTTCATCATGTATTCACTCATCTTTTTTATTTTAAGATTTTTAAAATTCCTAATACCTGATGACTAGGAACAGATGTTATAAGGAAATCCATAAATTTTTCTTCAGATTCCTTCATCGAACTTTATGAATCACAACAGTATCTTGTCAATAAACCGTTCTAAAACAAAGGCAGCTACCAAACTGGAAAATTTAGGCTTGATTAATTACTGTTAGTTTAAGATTTAGTTTTCCTTTAAAAAAAAAAAATAGGAAGCTTCAGTTATTTACAGTTCAATAGGCTGAGAAAAGAATCTCAGGTTGCAACCCAACCCTGGAAAATTTAAATGAATCTCTTAATTCTTAGCTCTTCAGTAAACTGAAATGACCAATAGGCACAATATCCAGTAATTATTTTATTTATCATAGCTAACTTCCTTCTATTTTAACACAGCTACAGAAAGATTTAGAAGAGGTGAAGGTGCTGCTGGAAAAAGCCACTAGAAAAAGAGTACGTGATGCCCTTACAGCTGAAAAATCCAAGATTGAGACAGAAATCAAGAACAAGATGCAGCAGAAATCACAGAGAAAAGCAGAACTTCTTGACAGTGAAAAGCCAGCTGCTGTGGTTGCTCCCATTACAACAGGATATACAGTGAAAATCAGTAATTACGGTATGACTCCCTATCCTATATCCAGTTCTTTCTGCCTCCCAGGAACTTATTCGTGAGTAGTGACCCACTAACAAAGTCAATTTTTAAAATAGTCTCAGTGTTTGTTTTTGGTAGTTTGAAAGAGAAGACCTACTGTTATTTATTAAGATGCTTTGGAAGAGATGAAAAAGGAAAGAATAGATTTAAAAGCTATCAACAAGAGCAAGATGATCTTCTGTAACGAGTAGCAACAAGAATGAACCTATTCTGAAATATGTTCAGCATATAAGGAATACAGCTTCTTGTTTTAATCCTGTTTTGCATTTTATTTTGCCTAACAACCACCAGTATTATCTAAGGAAAGGAATTGAGGCAAATCTGAGAAACATTTCTGAGTGCCAATTCTATGCCACTGTTGTGCTTGGGCTTGTGGATACACAGTGACCAAGACCCAGTCCTTGCTCATGGTGTGGTTAGGACACAGACATACAACTAATACCATAACATGTAATGATACCATTTTCTCTCAGTAGATCATTTTGGAACAGTGCAACTTGAATCTGATGAGCTCTCTTGAGGGGAGGGGCAGTCATTTTTCTTTGTGCTCCCAGTATCTAGCACATAGTAATTAATATTTGCTCGAATGAAGTGAATAGAGGTTTGTGAAGTTTTGTGGGAATACAGCTGATGTAATGGAGACTTAGACATTTGAGTTTGAAGGGTGAGTTCGGCAAGTGTAAGAAAAGGAGGGGGGATCGAGTGAGCAGAGGACATGCATAGAGCCATGAAAGGCAGCATGTATTTTCCGTATTGTCATAATGAAAAGTAGTGTGTGTTGTGCTTAAGAGATGTAGTATAGTGGGCGCCTGGGTGGCTCAGTTCAGTAAGTGACTGCCTTCGGCTCCGATCATGATCCCAGAGTCCCAGCATCCAGTCCCGCATTGGGCTTCCCAATCAGCGGGAAGTCCCTCGCCCCTCTTGTGTGTGCTCTTTCTCTCTCAAATAGATAAAATCTATTTTTAAAAAGAGAGATGTAGTATAGTACAATAAGGAGATATGCTGTGTACTTATTCGACCAAAGGAAGCTGGTCTGAGCTTGTAGGATTATGGCATATGCCCAGCAGCCTTGATTTGTGTTAAGGGAGAAACTGTCCTCAATGTGGAGGATGGATCGAATGAATGGGAAGAAACTAGATGAAGGTCTGCAGAACCTTCTAGGATGTCTTTTTTTTAAATTAACACTACACTTTTTCTATAGGACTAAGGAACAGTCAAGGATATACAGAGAGCCTATATATACAATATTCATTATTCATTTTTATTCACTTTTTATGTGAAGTTTGTATGTTTTTAGTTGACAGAATTCATCTAGGTTAGTCAAATTAGATTTGGATGATCGGGACTCTGTATTTTACTGTGTCAGTGAAGGGAATTGAGAAAGCAATGATTGCCTTTGAACTGTTTAGAGAAGTAGAAATGATTATGAAGTTAGATAATACTGATGTTTAGACATCCAGTTTAGTAGTGAATTATTGATATTTAGGTATAGGACAAAATTTCCACAAAAAGAAAATGAGCTGCTCTTTTAATTTTTTTGAGTATAGTTGACCCACAGTGAGACATACGTTCAGGTGTACAGCGTAATGATCCAGCACCTCTGTTAGGCTGTGCTCACCTCAGGTATCACGTACAGTGCTATTACAGTATCATGTATATTCCCTGTGCCGTACCTTTTATTCTCCCCACTTTATTCATTCCATAACTGGAAGCCTGTACCTCCCACTCCCCTTTACCACTGTGCCTATCTCCTCCCCTTAACCCTGGCAACCATTGGTTTGTTCTCAGTGTTTATGGGTCTATTTCTGCTTTTGTTGGTTTTTTAGATTCAACATAAAATGAAAGCATATGCTATTTGACTTTTCTCCATTTGACTGACTTCACTTAGCATAATACTCTGTAGGTCCATCCATGCTGTTCTGGATGGATTGCAAGATCTCCTTTTTTACGGCTGAGTAATAATTCCATTGTCATATATACTACATCTTTATCCATTCATCTGTTGACAGACACTTAGGTTGCTTCCCTCTCTTGGCTATTATAAATAATGCTGCAGGGGTACATGTATCTTTTAAAGTTAGTGTTTTCATTTTACACGAGTAAATACCCAGTAGTGGAATTACTGAATCATAATGGCATATCTATTTTGAATTTTCTTTTTTTTTTTTTAAAGATTTTATTTATTTATTTGAGACAGAGAGAATGAGAGAGAGCACATGAGAGGGGGGAGGGTCAGAGGGAGAAGCAGACTCCCTGCCGAGCAGGGAGCCCGATGCGGGACTCAATCCAGGGACTCCAGGATCATGACCTGAGCCGAAGGCAGTTGCTTAACCAACTGAGCCACCCAGGCGCCCTATTTTGAATTTTCTGAGCAACTTCCATACTGTTTTCCACACTGGCTGTACCAATTTACATTGGTACATTCCCACCAACAGTGTACAAGGGTTCCTTTTTCTCCACATCCATACCCACATTTGTTATTTCAGGTTTTTGGGGTTTTGTTTGTTTTTTAATTCTAACCATTCTGACAGATGTAAGGTGACATCTCACTGTTTTGATTGGTATTTCCCTGATGATTAGTGATGTTGAGCATCTTTTTATGTGTCTGTTGGCTAACTGTATGTTGTCTTTGGGGAAATGTCTATTCAGGTCCTCTGCTCATTTTTTAATTTGATCATTTGGGGGCTTTTGGTGTTGAGTTGTATGCAAGTTCTTCTGTATTTTGCAATATTAACCCCTTACCAGATAGATCATTTGCAAATATCTTTTCCCATTCACTAGGTTGCCTTTTCATTTTATTGGTGATCCTTTTATGTGCAGCTTTTTATTTTAGTATAGTCGTACTGTTTTTGCTTTGTTTCCCTTGCCTCAGGAGCCGCATCTAGAAAAATGTTGCTATGGCCAGTGCCAGAGACATTGTTGTGGATGTTCTCTTCTAGGAGCTTATGGTTTCATGTCTCACATTTTCATCCATTTTGAGTTTGTGTGAGTGGTGTTAGAAAAATGGGCTCCTCTTTTTTTTATGTTATGTTAATCACCATACATTACATCATTAGTTTTTGATGTAGTGTTCCATGATTCATTGTTTGCATATAACACCCAGTGCTCCATTCAATACGTGCCCTCCTTAATACCCATCACCAGGCTAACCCCTCCCTCCACCCTCCTCCCCTCTAAAACCCTCAGTTTGTTTCCCAGAGTCCATAGTCTCTCATGGTTCGTCTCCCCTCTGATTCCCCCCCTTCAAAAAATGGGCTTTGTGTTCAGTAAACCTGGATTTGAATCCAAGTTTTACCACTAGCTAGATGCCTAACTTTGTAGATTACTTAACTGCTATGAAGCTCAATTTCTCCATCTAGAAAGTTTCTTATATTTTAATTTTTCCTGTGTTTCTATTCCAGAATTTAGTTTCCTCCAGTTTTAGGAGCCATATGCATTTATTGTTCTAGAGATAGTATGAGACTTTACTCATGTCCCTTTTTTGTTGTTACTAGGATGGGATCAGTCAGATAAGTTTGTGAAAATCTACATTACCTTAACTGGAGTTCATCAGGTCCCCACCGAGAATGTGCAGGTGCATTTCACAGAGAGGTGAGTTCTCACGATGGGAAATATAGTGATCATTAAGTCAGAGATTGCTTTATTACTGGTTCTCTTCTTTTCAGTTTCTAAACCTGCTTAAATTTAGAATTTTCCTTTACACCTGCTTTGAAGAGGCTAATCTTATCACCAGGGATGGCCAAATGCACATCCTAAAATAAAACTTGTGGCTTTTTTCCACAAGAGCTATAGAGCACCTCTCATAGAGCCAGAAAGATAATGTATTCACTATTGTATTATAGGTCATTTGATCTTTTGGTAAAGAATCTAAATGGGAAGAGTTACTCCATGATTGTGAACAATCTCTTAAAACCCATCTCTGTGGAAGGCAGTTCAAAAAAAGTAAGTTTACTTTTTTGTCATATTGTGAAACCTCATTAAATTGAACCTGGTTGATTTAGAATTGAGAGGAACTAGAATTAATTTATCCTCTGTAACAGGGATCAGCAAACTATAGCCTGATGGCTATATTATTGGAACACGCCTGTGCTCACTTGTTTATGTGTTGTCTGGGCCTGTGATTGCGCTGTAATGGCAGAATTAAGTAGCTGCACCAGAAACCTAAAATAATAACTATCTGGCCTGTGTCAACTCTTGCCTCTAGAAGAATAGATTATTCTAAGAATATTGCATTAAAATCAAGAAGGGAATAAACTTTTAAAATTGGTTAAGAGTGAGACTTGAGTTTTCATGCCAGTTTTGCCACTTACTAGTTGTGACTTTTTGGTACCTCACTTAATCATTCTGTGCGCCTCAGTTTCCTCCTTTGTACAATGGGAATAGTTTATCTTACAAAGTTGAAATTATATACTGAAATGAAATATATATAAAGTGCTTAATTTTTGATACATAAGAGGGCTTAAACACTTAGCCTAATTAGAAGTAGTAAAATCTATAAAAATAAATGGCCTTTTAAACTATTATTCACACTTTTCACTAACTCAGATAATCTCTTTTCTACTTAAATAAGGTTTAATACATCTGGTACATAGATGTGCCATTCTGCCATCTGTGTTTACATAGTTCTATAGCAGTTTAAAGGCAGTATTAGAATATAACATTAATTAGCTTGTGCCTCACTGCTTCCTTCTTTATCCATTAATCTCATAGTTAAATACTCAAAAGAATCCTAGGAATTATATGGATCACTGTTGAAAGAGTTGTGTACTATTTTGATTTCCGCCTTACTGTATTACTCTGTCCTTCAATCACCAAAATTCTACCACTTTTTTCCTTTTTAAGTCAGACACACCAGAATCATCCCGTTTTACAGCCTTTCTCCTTGCTATGCCCTTTCTTCTGGATCTTGGGCCACAGCTCAGATTTCACCTCACAGAGGCCTTTCCTGAAGAACAAACCCCATTAATACCTTTTTTGTCTTGGTTTTTGTCTTTATATTTGAAGGTATTCCAGTTTTACTTGTCTACGTTCTCTTTCATGAGTCCTATTCGTTAAGTATTAGTACCACCTAAAACCAGTCCTACACATAATAGTAACTTGATTGCGTAAATGTTTTCCAAATACCCATGCTTATCTCCATGTGCTGTAAGTTGTACTTGTTTTCCTGCTTTTCTTCCAGGTCAAGACAGATACAGTTCTTATCTTATGTAGAAAGAAAGCAGAAAACACACGTTGGGACTACCTGACTCAGGTTGAAAAAGAATGCAAAGAGAAAGAGTAAGTTTACTTTCACGTCTTTAAGAATTAAATGTATTCTTTGCTGGGACTGTAGATTTTTAACACTTTGCTGTTATGGGTAAGAGTTGTATAATCTGTAATTTGACCATTTACCTCTTAATATCCACTGAGTAACCCAATCATCATCTTGTATCTTTCTACTGTCAATGTATTTAAGGAGGGCACAGATCCAGCAAGTTGCTTTTTACGGAGGGCTTTAGTTTTGGTTGGCTTTTTTGTATTGGTTCTTAACCCTGGGCCAGTGGTGCTTTTTTTTTTCCCCCTTAAGAGAGCAAGTGAGCATGCATGAGGGAGGGGGCGGTGGGGGGCAGAGTGTGGAGAGAGAATCCCAAGCAGGTTCCACGCCCAGCGTGGAGACTGACACGGGGCTCCATCTCCACCCTGAGATCGTGACCTGAGCTGAAACCAAAAGCAAGAGTTGGGTGCTTAACTGACTGAGCCACCCGGGTGCCCCACCTGTGCTGCTTCTATACAGATTCTGTGTCCATTCCCAGAGATTCCATTAGTCTCAAGAGAGGTCCAGATACCTAGATCAACATTTTGAATTCCACAGAAGTTTCTCATATGTAATTAGTTTCATTGTCACTGGTGCAGAGTGAAAGAGAATATTTTTATCCTACTTAATGGCTATTCTAAAAAGTGTTTATTTAAAGATATTTCCATTCTAGGTCAAACTGTTCCTCTGCCTGAAATGTCCTGCACTGACGATGCCCTACATTGAGTCATTCAGCCTTCCTCCTTCCTTCCACTCCTCCCCTGTAGCCGGGGGTGCACTTGGTTGGCTAGAGTTAGGAAATATATGTATCTGATTTGATTTTACATCTAGAACAAATTACTTGAGCACAGGACCATGTCTTTCTCTTGTTGTAAAATCCTCAGTGCCCAGTTACACGATCTGGCACTGAATGAGATAAGTGAAGATATAAAGTTAATTGGCCCTGCTTGGACATGGATTGAACTGGAAGCATTGATTATATTGAGGACCATATCAGTAAATGGGATCATTTAGAACTGTGTTTTTTTTCCCACAGAAAGCCCTCCTATGACACTGAAACAGATCCTAGTGAGGGATTGATGAATGTTCTAAAGAAAATTTATGAAGACGGAGATGATGACATGAAACGAACCATTAATAAAGCCTGGGTGGAATCAAGAGAGAAGCAAGCCAAAGGAGACACAGAATTTTGAGACTTTAAAGTCATTTTGGGAACTGCGATGTGGAAATATTGATGTTTCCAATGAGGAAATGTTGGTGAGCTGCACAGATAAATTTGACAGATAACTGCTTACATAGCCTTCTTATTCTAAGTAAAGGCAGTGAATGCTCCCATTTCCTCCTGGAGGATTTATTTAAATAAAATATGCTTATTAAACATTTCCTCCAAAGATGGTTTCCTTAGTAATCTGGGCATTTTGTTCAAAAAAGGATAATATGGTATTCTTGTGTGAAATGTAAAAAAGCAAGTCTTGCCTAATGATGATGCCACATTGTGTATTTTTGTTCAGCTAAGATGTAGAAAACAAAAGTTTTTGCCTATAAGTTCCTGATATTTGCCTATAAGTTCCTGATACCAGCTCCCACAATTGTAAGAATAAGTAAAAATAAAACCTGAATTTTTGCATAAAATGCAAATTCGTACCTGTGTGCTTCAAGGTTGCCATAGTTTTCTATGAGCAGCTTAAGTAATACACATACCACACATTTCCATGGCCTACTAATCCATTCACAAATACTTGTCTCTAGATTTAAATGCTTAGAAATAAAAACGAAATCTAAACTTGACAAGAAAAGGAAAACATCTTTCTGTAGTACCAATTAGTAAGTTACCATGGATCAGATGATTTTCAAAAGCAATAACCATAAAGCAAAAATAAATAAAAATCCCATCTATTGCTATGTTCAATAAAGTTGATTAGGTTTTTGTTCAATGGAATAGTTCTGTCTATCCAGGAGTATGCCAGGAAAGGCTTTTTATTAAAAGGGAGGATTTCTTTTAGAATTACTCCCCCTAAAAATCCACAGTTAAGAGCAAGATGCCGGGCGCCTGGGTGGCTCAGTTGGTTAAGCGACTGCCTTCGGCTCAGGTCATGATCCTGGAGTCCCGGGATCGAGTCCCGCATCGGGCTCCCTGCCCCTCCTCCCTCTCGTGCTCTCTCTCATTCTCTCACACACACACAAAAAAGAGCAAGATGCCTGTGATCTCCATTTGTATTTGTCAGATAAGAGAAAGCGATTAAACATACATAGGAAAAATCCAAGAGGATTGACCAAAACTACTAGAATTAATAGAATCTGGTAAAAGTGGTAGGGTAAAAATTGGTAGGGTTTAAAATTAACATATAGGATAACTGTTAAACATTTAACATAACCTCAAAAATAAATAATGGCAAAAATGAATGATAAATGCAAAGAAATAGAAATACCCAAATGTCAATTAATCGAGGACTAGCTGAATAAACAGATATGTCTACATGGGGGGTCCTTACAGTCACAAAAAGAAATGATTATTTCTACATACACAGAATGATCAGCGGGATACAGGAAAAGCAAAGTGCAGAAAATTGTTTATGGTATACTTACCTTAGTGTCCGAAAGGGTGAGACATGTGAATACACAGACATACACGTATTTACTTACTTCAAAAAGAAACCAGAAGAGTAAGCCAAAACTAATAAAAATGGTTACCAGTAGGGAAAAGAACGAGGTGGGATGGAAACCATACTTGTGAGTGTACTTTTGTCTGTAGTTCCGACTTTAGAACCATCTAAAATTTTAACATTTAAAAGCTAAATAAAAAGTAATCCTAACATTTGAAAACAAACCTAACATATCAAGTTGTGACAGACATACTTGCAAGTGACTTTAGAACACAGTATTTTGACTCTCCATTGCTAGTGCGACAGGAGTCCAAAGACCCACAGAAGTCTTAACACTGTGATCACTTAGGAGTAAAAGTATATGCTGAAGCAATTTTTATGTATTATATGATAAAGGTAATGAATAACGAGTCATTAGGAGCTTATATTTAACAAGTACAGAATCGATACGAACTTACATTATTTTTCTTAAATGCACATTTCTTAGCAACATCCACCAAAAGGGCCTTTATAAAGGCAATGACAATTCAGAATTCAGTAGCAAACAGCAGCACCCTTAGTGCTCAGATACAGTCTCAACACTTCTGTACTAAAAGGACCAGGGAGCCTTGAAAAAATGTGAGGCAGAAAATACACAAGGTAAGCCTGCATTTTCTTATGCCATAAAGTGAGGAAATACCAAATATCCTTCATCAAGTTAACAGGATACAGGACCCAGCAGTGGGAGGACAACCAGAAAGTTGCCTTCTGATGGCACAGGAAATAGTACCCAGCACACTCGGGAAAATTCATTCCTTAAAAAACTGAACCTGAATCTAGTCAAGCCTCCTGAGTGTAACTACGAGTTTTTAGGGACAGGGGAATAAATTAAAGGACACATGAAGAAGCAAATAGCCAAATGCTGGCCTTTTTAAAAAAAATTTTATTATGTTAATCCCCATGAGTTTGTGTATAACACCCAGCGCTCCATGCAGAACGTAAGGACCAATGACCTGGCTCCTCCAACAAACCAGTGACAAGAAAGCAGGAACGACAGGTACAGCAACCAAATGAAATCGATGGATCATGCTTGGATGCCCGAATCAAACGAAAACAAAAAGATGGTGTCCTATCGATACTCCAGAAATCAACAAATGGGACGTTCTAGTTATAATCTGATTAACCCTAGTTACTAGTTGGGATATTAGCTAGAGCATTCCAGTTGGTAAGCTGTAATATAAATTTGGGAAACATGACTCCAAGGTTTGTGAGAATTCTCTCACAGCTTCATCTCCACCAAAATTCCAGACTGCTACCCAGGTGCACACCAGGCCTCTCCCTGGGAAGACAAGGCATCTCAAACAGCACAACTGAAACCTGACCTCACATGCCCAGTTTCCTCCCAACTGATTCTTTTCTGCCCATATTTTCTATCTGGGGGTTGCCTTCTGCCATCCATCCAGTCACCCTTACCAGAAACCCACAGTTCCCTTTACCTCTTAAATATAATCAGTCTCTAAGTCTTACCCAATTTTCTTTCTAAAGACTTTTTAAAATCTATCCTCTTGTCTGCCTCAACTCCCTTTGTTAAGGCCCTGGTTTTCCAGAACAATTATGACATCCCTCCTAACTGGTTATCTTGCATGGAGCCTTTCCACTCGTGGTCTAGATCTACCACACTATTGTCAGTTATCTGGAGAGCAACTGATGAGGTCATTCCTCTGCTTAAAACTCTCCCAATAGCTGGTATTTCAATTCAGTCTTACCTTCACATACTGTGGTATCTTCCATGACATGGGCTTTGTCTCGCGTTGCATATTTCTCATACAACGGAGGGGCTGCCATCGCACTCCTTGATGTCTTTGTGCCTCCGCTTCCCCGGTTCCCTCTGCAAAAATCTCGTCCCTTGCCTCTTGATTGAAGTTCTGATGTCAGCTCCGGGAACACTTGCCTGATGTGAAGTGGCTGCTTCCATACTTACACCCCGGGCATTTTTATCAATGGGCTGATCACTGCTGAGTTACTGAACAAGACAATCTTTTGCTACCTTTACTCATTTCTGTTACAGATAAACCAGAATAAAGAAAATATATACTATTCCAACAAAATTTTTCCTGTTTGCATTGATTTTCAGGGGCTCTAAGAGGCCTTCTGTCCTAAAGGCCATCAAAGATGGAACAAGAAAATGTTTAGTGCTTCTGCCTCTTGTCCAGCCATCACACAGAGAAGTGGAGCATGACTTAGACACCCAGGAACATCAGCTGTACCTTCTAACACATCGTTTCCCTAACGATGAGCTGGCAGTACGGTGCGCTGTGCAGGTCAGGGAAGCCAGCCCAGGATGACAAACTGCCACAGATGAGCTACTTGTTCGTGAGCTGTATTAACTATCAGATAATACTGCTTTATGAAATACTACCCTTAAAAATACAGGAACCCTTCATATGTTGCTAAAAGATGCAGCATGAAGGAAAAGGCAGGCATACAGAGAATATTTTCACAGAATATTTTTTATTACTCTACTCCTTGTAGTATGTATGGAAACAGTACAGTTAATTTTTAAGTCCAAGAGAAGAGATAATTCACAGAGAGCCAGAATTCACTGACTGAAACATCCACCAAATTTCTTAATTTAAAATTAAAAGGTAATTTAACCGTAGGCAGCATCAGGTAGACTAGACTCCCATACTGGACCCCTACAAAACTAGGTTTTTGTCTATTAGAGAAGCCTCTTCTTGCCAGAACTGGCTTCCCTGCTCAGTAGGTTCTGGAGCGGGTCACCATATTGCTCGCTGGACCCCCGACAGCTGCCCATGGTCTGCTAAGTGACGGAAGACAATACGACTAAGCCTCCAGCGCCGCTTTACACCACGTGGACGGGACGTCATAACACACCGATTTCGGATTCGAACAGGGCAGCTATCCCGGGGAAGGGCAGCAATTTCTCCATCGGCCACTTCCTAAGGGAAGTCACAACATTACTACACAGATCACATGCACACAGTTATTCTATATGCTTGAGTCAATGCTTAGAGTCAGGGAACAAAGGGCTAGATTCACTAATATAGCCAGTTTCCCCAAAGAACCTTAGACACAGTAGTGAACCTTAACCTCTGGGTAGAAACAAATAGACCGGAAAAAATGATAGAAATGTTTGGCATGCTCCCAATACAATCTTTAAAAATTTTATAGAAATTTAACACAGATATACAAGAATCCACAAATCATTAAGTGTAAAGCTCATTCACTTTTAATAGGACATCTCTGTAATAAGCAACTGGAATGCAAACAAACATCAGCAGCACCCCAGGCCCCACGTGTGCCTCCTTTTAGACACTGACCACAGACACTGTTAGCCAGCAGCTCTCCTGATTACTAACACCACAGATGAGTTCTCCGTGTTTAGATTTCATATAAATCTAACCATACAGTAGGCATTCTTTTTTATTCATTTCTCTTTGGCTTCTTTCATTCAATAATATGCTTGTGAGATTCATCCATACTGTTGCATGTGTTGTAATCCGTTCGTTCTCATTGGTGGTGATTTTCATCGTGTGAATATACCGTAATTCATTTATCCATTCTTTTTTTTTTTTTTTTTAAGATTTTATTTATTTATTTGAGAGAGAGAGAACACATGAGAGGGGATAGGGTCAGAGGACAAAGCAGACTCCCTGCCGAGCAGGGAGCCCGATGCGGGACTCGATCCAGGGACTCCAGGATCATGACCTGAGCCAAAGGCAGTTGCTTAACCAACTGAGCCACCCAGGCGCCCTCATTTATCCATTCTACAGCTGATGGACATCTGGGTAGCTTCCAGTTTTGAGCTCTTATGAATAGGGCAGCTACCAAGTAGTGGAATTACTGAATCATATGATAGTTCTATGTTTAATTACTTGAGCAGCCTCCATACTGTTTTCCACAGTGCCTATACCAATTTATACTCCCACTAACACACACAAAGTTTCCCTTTAATCCACATCCTTGCCCATACTTGTTATTTCTTGTCTTTTTACTTCTAACCATTCTGACAGGTGTGAGGTAACATCTTGTAGTTTTGACTGGCATTTCCCTGATGATGAGTGATGTGGAGCATCTTTTCATGTGTTTGTTGTCCATCTGGAAGTCTTCTTTGGAAAAACGTCTATTCAGGTCCTCTGCCAACTTTTAAATTGGATTATTTGCTTTTTTGGGTGTTGAGTTGTAGAAGTTCTTTATGTATCTTGGCTACTAACCTCTTATCATTTGCAATACCTTCTCCTATTCAGTAGGAGGTCTTCTTACTTTGTTGATGGTTTCCTTTGATGTGCAAAAGCTTTTATTGTGGTGTTAGTCCCAACAGTTTATTTGTGCTTTTGTGTCCCTTGCCTGAGGAGACATAGCTAGAAAAATGTTGATACAGTCAATGTCAAAGAAATTATTGCCTATATTTTCTTCTAAGAGTTTTATGCTCTCAGGTCTCACATTTATGTCTTTAATCCATTTTGAGTTTATTTTTACATATAGTATAAGTGGTCTAGTTGTATTCTTTTGCATGTAGCTGTCCAGCTTCCCAACAGCATTTATTGAAGAGACTGTCTTTTCCCCATTGTATATTCCTGCCTCTTTTGTTGTAGATTAACTTATTTCTGTGCTCTCTGTTCTGTTCCAATGATCTATATGTCTATTTCAGTGTCAGTACCACACTGTTTTGATTATTATTGCTTTGTTGTATATCTTGAAATCTGGCACTGGGATACCTCCAGCTTTGTTCTTTCTCAAGATTACTTTGGCTATCTGGGCTCTTATGTGGTTCCATAAAAATTTTAATATTATTTGTTCTAGTTCTGTGAAAAGTGCAGTTGGTATTTTGATAGGGACTGCACTGAATCTGTAGAATGCTTTGGGTAGTATGGATATTTTAACAATATTAATCCTTCCAACCCATGAGCATGGACTATCTCTCCATTTATTTGTATTGTCTTCAATTTCTTTCATTAGTGTTTATAGTTTTCAGAGTACACGTCTTTCACCTCCCTGGTTAAGTTTATTCCTAGGTATTTTATTGTTTTTGGTGCAACTGTAAATGAGACTGTTTTCTTAATTTCTCTTTCTGCTACTTTGCCATTAGTGTATAGAAGTGTAAATAATTTCTGTATATTAATTTTATATACTGCAACTTTACTGAATTCATTTATTATTTCTAATAGTTTTTTGGTGGAATCTTTAGGGTTTTCTATAGTATCATGTCATCTGCCAATAGTGACAGTTTAACTTCTTCCTTACCAATTTGGATGTCATTGATTCATTGTATGATCACTGTGGCTAGGACTGCCAGTACTATGTAGAATAAAAGTGGCAAGAGTAGACATCCTTGTCTTGTTTTGGTTCTTACAGGAAAAGCCCCCAGTTTTTCACCACTATATACATTCTTGTTTAAGTAATTTGGAAAATATGTGAACATATTTCTGTTGTCTCCCCATATGTTTTTTCTCCAGCTTTATTGAGATATAACTGACATGTAACATCATGAACACATTGTGATGATCTGATACATGTATACACTACAAAATAATTATCACAATAAGGCCTACTGAACACCTTCAACACCCCCAAATAATTACTTTTTTTGGTGATGAGAACATTTAACATTTACTCTCTTAACAACTTTCAAACATACAATACAGTATTAACTATAATTACCATTTTATATGTTAGATTCTCAGAACTTATTCATCTTATAGAGATGAATCTCTGCCTGAGATCTCCCCATTTCCCCTACCTCCCAGCCACCAGTAACCACCATTCTAATCTGTTCCTATGAGTTCAACTTACTCCACATTCCGTATGTAAGTGAAATCAAACAGTATTTGTCTTTCTCTGACTTATTTAACATAATACTCCCAAGGTACATTCAAGTTATTGCAAAAGGCAAAACACCACTGCATATTGTTTGTGCCTTTGTGTACCACATTTTCTTTGAATAAATATCACATTCATTTGCTAACACTTAGGTTGCTTCCATATCTTGGCTATTGTGAATAATGCTGTGGTGAACATGGAAGTGCAGATGTCTTCTCGAATTACTATTTTCATTTTCTTCAGATACTCAGAAGTAGACTGCTGGACCATATGGATAGTTCTATTTTTAACTATTTGAGGAACCTCCAGTTTTCAATAATTAATGCACCAATTTACATTCCCACCAACAGTGAACAAGGGTTCCCTTTTCCCCACATCCTCGCCAAAACTTATCCTTTGTCTTTTTGATAATAGTCATTCTAACAAATATGACGTGATATCTCATTGTGGTTTTGGTTTGCATTTCTCTGATCATAAGTAATATTGAGCATCTTTTCATGTACCTGTAGGGGACATTTGTAGGACTTCTTCGGAAAAATGTCTATTTAGGTTCTCTGTTCATTTTTCAACTTAAGTGTTGTTTTTTGGCTATTGAACTATAGGAGTTCCTTATATATTTTGGATATTAACCCTTTATCAGGTCTTTTGTTGTGCAGAAGCATTTACTCTTATGTTTTGCTTTTTGTTGCTTGTGCTTTTGGTGTCATATCTAAACAGTCACTGCCAAGACCAATGTCAAGGAGCTTTTCCCTTATGTTTTCTTCTAGAAGATTTACAGTTTCAGGTTTTACTTTTAAGTTTTCACACATCGAGTTAATTATTGTGAGGTGTAAGATAGGGCTCTGATTTCATTCGTTTGCACATGAACATCCAGTTTCCCCAACACCATTTATTAAAGCAACTACTCTCTCCCCATTAAGTAGTTTGGGTTCCCTTGTTGAATATTTGTTGACCATATAGGAATGGGTTTCTTCCTGGGCTCTTGCTTCTCTTCCATTGTTCTAGGTGTCTGTTTTTATGCAGTATACTATCTTGAATATTACAACTTTGTAATAAAGTGTTTTTTTCTTTAAAGATTTTATTTTTAAGTAATCTCAACACCCAACACAGGGCTCGAACTCATAACCCTAAGATCAAGAGTCGCATGCTCCACTGACTGAGCCAGACAGGAGCCCCTATATTAAAGTTTTAAATTAGGAAGTATGTTGCCTCCAGTTTTGTTCTTCCTCAGGATTGCTTTGGCTATTCAAGGCTCTTTTGTGATTCCATATGAATTTTAGGATTTTTTTTTTTTATTTCTGTGAAAAATGCCATTGGAATTTATCAAAAAGTCTATAAATGGCTTTGTGTAGTATGGACAGTTCCTTTTCTTTTCAAGACTTATTTTAGAGAGAGAGAGAGAGAGAGAGGAGGGGCAGAGGGAGAGGGAAAGAGAGAATCCCAAGCAGACTCCCTGCAGAGCGCGGAGCCCAACACGGGGCTCGATCTCATGACCCTGAGATCATGACCTGAGTTGAAATCAAGAGTCAGACACTAAACCAACTAAGCCACCCAGGTGCCCCAAGTATGGACATTTTAACAATATTAATTCTTCTGACCCATGAACACAGGACATCTTTTCGTTTATGTCTTCTTCAATTTCTTTCATCAATGCCTTATAGTTTCCAGCATACGGATCTTTCCCCTCCTGAAGTTTATTCCTAAGTATTCTACTGAATTTGATGCTACTGTAACATGGGATTGTGTTATTTCTTTTTCAGATATTTTGTTGTTAGTCTATACAAACACAACTGATTTTTGTATCCTTCAACTTTACTGAATTCGTTGGTCAGTTCTAACAGTATTTGGTGGAGTCTTTAGGATTTTCCATGTGTAAGATCACATCTGCAAACAAAGACAATTTTACCTCTTTTTTTTTTCCCCCACACCCAATGTAGGACTTGAACTCATGACCTGAGAACAAGAGCACATGCTCCACCAACTGAGCCAGACAGGTGCCCCATTTCTTCATTTCTGATTTGAATGCCTTTTTAAAAATTTTTCTTGCCTGAGTACTGTGTTGAATAGAAGAGCCAAGACGGGACATCCTTTTCCTGTTCCTGATCTTAGGGGAAAAGCTTTCAACCTTTCACCACTGAGTACAATGTTAGCTATGGGCTTATTATTTTGTTACACGTTTCTCCTACACCCAATTTCTTGAGAGCTTTTATCATGAAATAATGTTGAATTTTGTCAAATGCTTTTTTGCATCTGTTGAGATGACCATATGATTTTTATATTTCATTCTATTAATGTGGTATATCATATTTGTTGATCTGCATATGTTGAACCATCTTTGCATCCCAGGGATACATCCCATTTGATCATGGTGGATGACATATGCTATTATATGATTTTGCTAGTATTTTGTTGAGAATTTTTGCATCTACATTCTTCAGGGATATTGGCCTATAGTTTCTTTTTTTTTTTTGAGAGGGAGGGAGGGTGGGGGGGGAGAGAGGGAGAAAGGGGGAGGGGGGGAGGGAAGGAGGGAAGGAGGGAAGAGAGAGAATCTTAAGCAGGCTCCTCACGCAGGGCAGAGCCTAACACGAGGCTCGATCTCACAACCGAGATGAAATCAAGAGTCAGAAGGTTAATCGAATGAGCCACCTAGGCACCCGTTTCTTTTCTTATACTGTTCTTACCTGGCTTTGATGACAGGGTTATGCTGGCTTGATAAAATAAATCTGGAAGTGGTCCTTTGGCTTCAAGTTTTTGGAAGAGTTTGAGAAGTATCGGTATTAATCCACCTTTTTTTTTTTTAATGTTTAAAAAAAAAAAAATTTTAGGAGAAGGGGGAGGGGCAAGGGAAGAGGGAGAGAATCCTAGCAGGCTCCACACCCTGAGATCATGACCCAAGCCAGAAATCAAGAGTCGGACACTTAACCAACTGAGCCACCCAGGCACCCTGGTATTAATTCACCTTTAAATGTTTGATGGAATTCACTCATGAAGCCATAGGGTCCTGGGCTTTTCTTTTCTGAAAGGTTTCTGATTGCTAATTCAATAGCGTTATTCATTATTGGTCAGTTCAGATTTTCTATTTCTCCTCCAATTAGTCTTATTAGGCTGTATATTTCTACGAATTTATCCATTTCTTCTAGGTTATCCAATCTGTTGGCATATAATAGTTCATATCATTTTTTTTTTTTTTAAGATTTTATTTATTTGACAGAGAACAAGAGCACTAGCAGGGGGAGCAGCAGAGGGAGAGGGAGAAGCAGGCTCCCCGCTGAGCAGGGAGCCCAATATGGGGCTCAATTGCAGGACCCTGGGATCATGACCTGAGCCGAAGGCAGACGCTCAACTGACTGAGCCACCCAGGTGCCCCACCCAGTTCATATCAGTTTATGATACTTTGTATTTCTGTAATATCAGTTGTAATGTTTCCTTTTTCATTTGATTTTGAGTCCTTGCTCTTTTTTACTTAGTTTAGCTAAAGATTTGTCAATTTTGTTTATCTTTTCAAAACATCAGCTCTTAGTTTCATTGATCCTTAGTGTGTTTCTGGTCTCTATTTCATTTATTTCTGCTTTAATCTTTGATTTTTTTCTTCTTCTTCTTCTTCTTTTAATAGTAAGCTCTACACCCAATGTGGGGCTTGAATTCATGACCCTGAGATCAAGAGCTGCATGTTCTACCGGTTGAGCCAGCCAGGTGCCCCTGTTATTCCCTTTCTTTTGCTAACTTGGGCTTAGTTTACTCTTCTTTTTCTAGTTCCTTAAGGTATAAAGTTAGGTTATTTCCCATATGACTTATGAGTCATGAAAATTTGAAACCTCCCGATGCAGATCAAGTAAGAGGGAATGGGTTTGAGAGGAGGCTGGAGAAGGGTAATAGAGCCCTGACACCTATGGTAAAGATTCTAACTGCTGGAGAAGCAAAGATGAGGGATCAGATGAGATTTACATTTTTAAAAGATCATTTGCAATAGAGAGAATGAAGCTGGTAAGGGCAAAAGTGGTTGAGATGGAGGAAAAAGAGATTACTACAGAAGCTTACATTAAGGATTTCTCAGTAGAGATTTATTTATATGTGCATATTACTATGTGATTATATTCACTTAAATATGACAAGTATGATGGACCCTGTGCTAGACTGAGAAAGCACAGTAATTACTCTAACATATTAAAAGTGCATAAATTAAATAAAATGCATATGAAAGCCACTAAATTAACACAAACTATTAAGCATTAAAGAATATTTCCTTGGTACTTTATTCTTTTTGGTGTAATTGTAAATTGATTGTTTTCTTAATTTCTCTTTTTGCTATTTCATTATTAATGTATAGAAATGCAATAGGTTTCTGCGTATTAATTTTGTATCTTGCACCTTTACTAAAATCATTTATCAGTTGTTAATAGACTATGGTGGAGTCATTGGGTTTTAAGATTTTATTTATTTATTTTAGAGAAAGAGAACATGCACTGCATACAAGTGGGGGAAGGAGGAGAGGGGGAAGGAGAGCAAGAGAGGGAATCTCTCAAGCAGACCCTGTGCTGAGCACCGAGCCTGACACGGGGCTCAATCTCATGATCCTGAGATCATGACCTGAGCCAAAACCAAGAGTGGAATGCTTAACCAACTGAGCCACGCAGGTCCTCCTGGGTTTTCTCTATATAGTATCAGGTCATCTGCAAACAGTGACAGTTTTTACTTTTTTTTTTTTTTTTTTTTTAAGATTTTATTTATTTGACAGAGAGAGATAGTGAGAGCAGGAACACAAGCAGGGGGAGTGGGAGAGGGAGAAGCAGCCTTCCCACGTGAGCAGGGAGCCTGATGCGGGGCTGGAACCCAGGACCCTGGAATCACGACCTGAGCCAAAGGCAGACAGCCAATGACTGAGCCACCCAGGCGCCCCTTTACTACTTCTTTACCAATTTTGATGCCTCTTCTTTTTTTTCCTTGTGTGATTGCTGCAGTTAAGAGTACTATGTTGAATAAAAGTAGTGAAAGTGGACATCCTTGTCTTGTTTCCAAACTTAGTGCAAAAGCTTTCAATTTTTCACTGCTGAGTATGACGATGGCTGTAGATTTTTCATACATGGCTTTCATTATGTTGAGGTATGTTCCCTCTAAATCCACTTTGTTGAGTTTTATCACAAATGGCTGTTATATTTTGTCAAATATATTTACTGAGATGATCATATGGTTTTTATCCTTTCTCTTGTTAAAGTATCATGTTGATGGATTTGCCAAAAGTGAACCACCCTTGCATCCCTGAAATAAATCCCTTTGACCGCGGTGAATGACCCTTTAATGTATTGTTGACATTGCTTTGCTAAATTTTTTTTAATAATTTTTTTTTTTTACCTATGTTCATCAGAGATTTTGGTCTGTGGTTTTCTTTTTTTGTAGTGTCTCTGTCTGGTTTTTGTATCGTGTAACAGGGGCCATGCAGAATGAATCTGGAAGTTTTCCTTCTTCTTTTATTTAATGGAATAGTTTAAGAAGAATAGATATTAACTCTTCTTTAAATGTTTGGTAGAATTCACCTGTGAAGACATCTGGTCCTGGAACTTTGTTTGTTGGGAGTTTTTTGATTATCAAATCGATTTCATTTCTAGTAATAAGTCTGTTCAAATTTTCTATCTCTTCCTGATTTGGTTGTGGGAAATTGCAGGTTTCTAGGAATTCATCCATTTCTTCTAGGTTGTCCAATTCGTTGGCATATAATTTTTCAAATATTCTCTTATCAATTGTATTTCTGTAATGTCATTTGTTATTTCCTCGCATTTCTGATTTCATTCCTTCCGTTTTCTTGGTAAATCTGGCTAAATGTCAATTTTATTTATCTTTACAAAGAACTCAGCTCTATCATTGATCTTTTCTATTGTTTTTTTTTTCCCCACGTCTGTTTCATTTATTTCTGTTCTGATCTTCATTATTTCCTTCCATCTACTAGCTTTGAGATTTGTTCTTTTTCTAGCTCCTTTAAGTGTTAGGTTAGGTTGTTTTGAGATTTTTGTTTCTTGGGGTAGGACTGTATGACTTTAAACTTCCCTCTTAGAAATGCCTTTGCTGTGTCCTAAAGATTTTGGACTTCACTGTTTTCATTTGTCTCCATGTATTTTTTTATTTTCTCTGATTTTTTCGTGATTCATTTGTGGCTTAGTGTCATGTTGTTTATCCTCCAAGTGTGTTTTTTTCTTGTAACTGATTTCTAGTTTCATACTGTTATGGTCAGAAAAGATGTTTGATATGATTTCAATCCTCTTATATTTATTGAGACTTGTTTTATGACCTTACATGTGATCTATCCTAGAGAATGTTCCCTGTGTACTTGAAAAGAATGTGTATTCTGCCTTTCTGGATAGAATGTTCTCTATATATCTGTTAGGTCTGTAAGGTCTAATGTATCATTCAAAGCCATGGTTTGCTTATTGACTTTCTTTCTGATGGTCTACCCACTGAGGTAAATGAGGTGTTAAGGCTCCCTACCACTTTGTTTTACTACCAATCTCTCCCTTTATATCTATTAATATTTGCTTTATGTATTTCGGTGCTCCTATGTTGGGTACAGAGCTACTTACAATTATGATATCCTCTTGCTGGATCGATTCCTTTATCATTATGTAATGCCCCTGTCTCTTGCTACAGTTTTTGTTCTAAAGTCTTTTTTTTTTTCTTAAGTTTTGGACATATGAACAAGTTTAATTTACCTGCTACACCATCCAGATGGAAATATGCGAGAAATGGATGGAAACAAGATTCATAAACTTAGGAAACAGGCAGGCATTTTTATTTTTTTATTTTTTGTCTTTTTTTTTTTAATTTAATTTTATTATGTTAGTCACATACATTATATCATTAGTTTTTGATGTAGTGTTCCATGATTCATTGTTTGCGTATAACAACCAGTGCTCCATGTGATACGTGCCCTCCTTAATACCCATCACCAGGCTAACCCATACCCCCACCCCCTCCCCTCTAAAACCCCCAGTTTGTTTCTCGGAGTCCATAGTCTCTCATGGTTCGTCTTTCCCTCCAATTTCCCCCCTTGCATTTTTCCCTTCTTACTGTATTTATTTATTTATTTATTTATTTATTTTTTAAGATTTTATTTATTTATTCATGAGAGACAGAGAGGCAGAGGGAGAAGCAGGCTCCCGCGGAGCAGGGAGCCCGATGCGGGACTCGATCCCAGGACGCTGGGATCATGACCTGAGCCGAAGGCAGACGCTTAACCATCTGAGCCACCCAGGCGCCGTTTTTTTTTTTTTAAACATGTAATGTATTATTTCAGAGGTACACGTCTGTGATTCATCAGTCTTAGACAATTCACAGCGCTCACCATAGCACATGCCCTCCCCAATGTCCCATCACCCGGCCACCCCAATCCTCCCACGCCCCACCACTCCAGCAACCCTCAGTTTGTTTCCTGAGATTAAGAATTCCTCATATCAGTGAGATCATATGATACTTGTCTTTCTCTGACTGACTTATTTTGCTTAGCATAATACCCTCTAGTTCCATCCACGTCGTTGCAAGTGGCAAGATTTTTTTTTTTTGATGGCTACATAATATTCCATTGTATATATATACACACACCACATCTTTATCCACTCATCTGTTGATGGACATCTTGACTCCTTCCATAGTTTGGCTATTGTGGACACTGCAGGCAGGCAGGCATTTTTAGACTTTAGGTTTAGACATTTACCACACTATTTTTTAATATTTAAAATAAAACCTTTTTATCACAATAAACAAAACAATGTATTAAAACTAACTTCCAGGGGTACCTGGCTGGCTCAGTCAGTGGAGCATGCGACCCTTGATCTCGGGGTCGTGAGTTTGAGCCCCACACTGGGTGTAAAGATTACTTAAATAAATAAAAGCTTAAAAAAACAAAACAAAACAAAACCTGACTTCCAGAAACTTCCCAAATTATTTTTTTAAACATGATCTAAGTTTCTTTTCACATTTCTTTAAATGTCAAGTTTTCTTTGGCAAATTTATCCAAAATACTAAATTTTAATTTTAGAGCTTATTTTATAGTTATATAACAGAGTGCCCTAAACTGATGTTCATCAAAATACTCTTCTCTAAGGGGTGCCTGGGTGGCACAGTCGGTTAAGTAGCTGCCTTTGGCTCAGGTCATGATCCCAGGGTCCTGGGATCGAGCCCCTCATCAGGCTCCCTGCTCAGCGGGAGTCTGCTTCTCCCTCTCCCTCTGTTGCTTCCCCTGCTTGTGCTCTCTTGCTCATGCTCTCTCTCTCTCAAATAAATCTCTTATATATATATATATGAAGATACCTTTCTCTAAGCCCTAATGGTTTCTACCTTCCTTTTAAAATGTATTATCTTTTATCTTTTAGGTTGTCATTCTCAGAAATTAAATTATGATTTAAACACCCATAAAGTCTTCATTTCTGTTATAGTACAGCAATTTATCATCTAACCCACAGTGGTCTATCAACTGAGTAAGGCTGGGTTTCTTCTCAGACATAGCTGACGCAGCTCATAAAGTAATAGCGGCCTAAGACAGGTCAATCTTTGATCTGTACATTTTGATCAGTTTTAGGCTCTGAAGAAGGTATTCTTTCTCCTCAATCTCTCCACCAATTTTGCTTTTTCTTAATCCTCATCCGGGAAGATCTTCATTTACAAAGCCACTTTGGAGATCACTGCATACCTCAGTACCAGGTGATTTAGATTCATATGCACTGATATTCTTTTTTTTAAAGATTTTTTTAATTTTTAAGTAATCTCTTAATTAAGTAATACTTAAGTAATCTCGAACTTACAACCCTGAGATCAAGAGTCGCTTGCTCTATCAACTGAGCTAGCCAGGCGCCCCTGCACTGACATTCTTGAAGGTATTTTTCAAATATGTACTTTCTTCAAATTCACCGTGTTTAAATTTTTCTTGAAATACCTAACAGAACTGAAGATACTGAAGATACTGGTGTCTCTGAAAAAGTCTGATCATTTTCTTTATTCTCTACTTTAAGGCATTTTACCACACTGTAACAGGAATTAAATGAAGATCTAGTTTTCCTTAATCATTCTCTAAGTCTTGTACTCATAGCTTGTTTTCCCGAACTGCTTGTATGGGAAGATGGTGGATTAGCACAGGCCGGGAGTGCTAGGTAAAATCACAGCTGAGTCAGATCGGCTTTCTATCTTGAGAATGAACCTTGGTTTACCTCTCCCTCTGCCATCCCCAGTGCAGAAAACACACCCGAGGTGTTGCTAGCCTGGCTTTTTTGTTTTTCACTTCTGTTTGCATGGTGTATGTTTTTCCATCCCATCACTTTCAGTCTGTATGTATCTTTAGGTCTTGAAGTGAGTCTCTTGTAGGCAGCATGTAGATGGGTCTTATTTTTTTTTTTATCCATTCAGTCACTCTATGTCTTGATTAGTTAGTCCTTCACATTTCAGTAATTACTGATAGATATGCACTTAATTCCAGTTTGTTAACTGTGTCCTTACTGTGTTCCTCTGTTTTTTTCTTCTCTTGCTCCTTTCCCTTGGGGTTTGATATTTTCTTTAGTGTCATGCTTGGATTTCTGTTTCTTTATTTTTTGTGTATCTACTTTAACTTCTTCATTTGTGGTAACTACTGGGTTATATATAACATCTTATGTGTATAACAGTCTATATTACATTGACTGTAGCTTAAGTTTAAACTGAAAGCACTAAATTCCCGCCCTCCATGTTTTATGTATATGATGTCATATTTTACATCTTCTTATTTTGTGTATCCTTAGACTAATTTTCATAGATAAAACTGATTACTACTTTGGTTTTTAGGTTTTAACCTCCATATCAGCTTTGTAAGTGAATAACCTACTACTATCTTTAGTGTGTTTGCCAATTTAACCAAGAAGGTGAAAAATCTATACTCTGAAACTGTTAAGACACTGATGAAAAGAAATTGAAGACAACACAAAAAATGGAAAGATATTGCATGGTCATGGATTAGAATAATTATTATTATTAAAATGTCCATATTACCCAAAGTAATCTACAGATTCAGTGCAATCCCTATCAAAATACCAAAAGCATTTTTCATAGAACTAGAACAAATAATACGAAATTTTGTTTGGAACCACAGAAAGTCCTGAATAGGCAAAGCAATCCTGAGAAACAACAAAGCTGGAGGTATCCCAATCCCAGATTTCAAGATATACCACAAAGCTATAATAATCAAAACAGGAGGGTACTGGCACAAAAAGAGACACAACAGGTCAATGGAATAGGAAGCCCTGAAATAAATCCATGTTTTTATGGTCAATTAATCTATGACAAAAGAGGCAAGAATGTACAATGAGGAAAAGACAGTCTTTTCAATAAATGGTGTTGGGAAAACTGGACGGCCACGGGCAAAAGAATGAAACCAGACCACTTATTTATACCATACACAAAAATAAACTTAATATGGATTAAAGATCTAAATGTGAGACCTGCAACCATGTAACTCCTAGAAAACATAGGCAGTATCTTGGATATCAGCCTTAGCAATATTTTTCTAGATGTATCTCCTCAGGTGAGGGAAACAAAAGCACAAACTATTGGGACTACATCAAAATAAAACGCTTCACATCAAAGGAAATCATCATTAAAACAAAGAGGCAATCTACTGAAAGGGAGAAGACTTCGACAAACAATGTATCTGAAAGAGGGTTAATATCCAAAATATATAAAGAACTTACACAACTCAATACCAAAAAACCAAATGATCCAATTAAAAAACAGGGAGAGGACTTAAATAGATATTTTTTCAAAGAAGACATAGATGGCCAATAGACATATGAAAAGATGCTCAACCTCACTAACGATTAGGGAAATGAAAATCAAAACCACAATGAGGTATCACCTTACAACTTTCAGAATGGGTAAAACCAAATGTTGGCAAAGATGTAGAGAAAATGGACTCCTCCTATACTGTTGATGGGAATGTATACTGGTGCAGCCACTGAAGGAACAGTATGAAGTTTCCTCAAAAAATGAAAAATAGAAATACTATACAATCCAGTAATTCCACTAGTGAGTATTTGAACAAAGAAAACAAAAACACTAATTCGAAAGAATACATGCACTCCTATGCTTATCACAGCATTATTTACAATAGTCAAGATACAGAAGCAACCCAAGTGTCCAACAATAGATGAATGGATAAAGAAGATGTGGTGTGTATAATAGAATAGAATATTACTCAGCCTTAAAAAACAAGATCCTGCCATTTGTGACGACATGGATGGACTCAGAGGTTATTATACTAAGTGAAATAAGTCAAACAGAGAAAGACAAATACCATATGACTTCACATATAGGTGAAATCCAAAAAACAAAACAACTGAACAAATAAACAACTATAGTAGAAATTGACCCATAAGAACAGAAAACTGGTGACTGCCAGAAGGCAGGTAGGTGGGTACATGGGCAAAAGGGGTGAAGGGAAATGGAAAGTACAGGCTTCTAGTCATGGAATGAGTAAGTCACAGGGTTGAAAGTTACAGCATAAGGACTATAGTCAATGTATTGTAAATAGTGTTACATGGTGACAGATGGTAACTACACTAGTGGTGAGCATAGCATTTTGTACAGAGTTGTTGAATTACTATGTTGTATCCCTGAAACTAACAGAATAGTGTGTGTGAACTATACTTCAATTAAGCAAAAAAAGATGGGACACCTGCGTGGCTCAGTCAGTTAAGTGTGTCTGCCTTCAGCTCAGGTCATGATCTCAGGGTCCTGGGATTAAGCCCCACATGGGGCTCCCTGCTCAGTGGGGAGCCTGTTTCTCCCACTCCTCCCAGCTCATGCTCTCTTCCCTATCTCTGTTGCCATCTCTGTCTCTCTCAAATAAATAAAATCTTAAAAAAGAAAAGTAACATACAGAATTGTTGAATCAATGTGTTAATCAACTGAAAATAACATTCTATGTCAATTAATTTCAATTTTTAAAAAAGAGGTATATTTTTCCAGTTATAAAATAAGTAAGTCACAGAAATAGGGAATATAGTCAATAATATTATAAAAACGTATGGTGACAATGACTACACTTACCATAGTACACACTGAGTAATATACAGAATTATCAAATACATACATTGCACATCTGAAAAAAGAATTATTTCCTAATTTCCAAAAGCTTACGCATGTGTTCCCACTATGAAATACTTAGAGAATTATATAAAACACAAATGAGTCAATGAATGGTGGATAATATGTGCTAGAGAGTGGACTGGAGAGGAGAAATCACCAGGCAAGTAAAGTTTCGCAGAAGCTGTCCTAGAACGCTCTAAGTGACTTATGTATGCATGTACCTATCATATACATACATATATACCTCTCCTTGTTCCCAAAAAGATTTAAGTCAGTTTACAAATGAGGAAATTGGGGCATAGGGAACAGGAGACTATAGAGTGTGCTGTGAAAAGCCTGTACGTCTGTAGAACTGGGACGTAAGTTTGATTTGTATGCTTCTTAGTAGGTGACACAGAGCCAGGATCAGTTCCTAAAACTCAGAGTCTTTGAAAAGCTACTGCTGGTTCTCATAGCAGAGCCATTTCTTCTGGGGGTTTTCATCAGTAATTCCTCCATGACATCTTAAGTTGTTTCTCAGGGGCCACCTCTTCCTACTCCCTAAATATAGTCAAGTAGCTTAATGCCATATGGTAAAATAAAAGCCCTAACAGAGTGGTTCAGGGCACTCAGCTTTCCACTGATCTGGCTAATCTAGACAAGATTTAAAAGAATTCATAGTAATGAATGGCCTGTATATTATTCAGCCAGCTTCTATATGTTTTTTTTTTTATCTTACTCTGAACTTTTGATAGTGATAGTTTGAGTAGCCTTGAGTTTGAATTATACTCCTAGATAAGACTCTTTTGCTTTGTTTCTTTAAAGATTTATTTATTTATTTATTTGAGAGAGAGGACGAGAGAGAGCAAGAGAGAGAGGAGAAGAGCAGGGAGAGGGAGGGAACCCTGAAGCAGACTGTGAGTCCAACGATGCAGGGCTGGATCCCAGGACCCTGAGATCATGACCTGGGCTGAAATCAGGAGTCCGCTGCTTAACTGACTGAGCCACCCAGGCACCCCAGTAAGACTCCTGAATGCAGGTATTCTATGTCACCAGGTAGGTGCAGGACCTTATGCTTAAGGAAGTCAAATAGGGTTGACATCCTCTTATTCAAGTTAAGGAGTACAAGAAAGGAAACCTAGAGGAAAGCCACCTCAGCACACAGAGGTGGGCAAAGGAGTTCAGAGAGGCAGGCTAGGAATTGCCCTGGGGGAGGAACAGTTTAGGCCACCTGGCCGGCCTCATGGGTCAGCACAGCCTCCCAATGCCTTGACAGGTCAAAGAGTGGGAAGAAGTTGCGGGGGGAAGCGGCGGGAAGAGATCTTAGGTCAAAATAACTGCCCAATTTGTGTGGTTACCATGCACCAGTACTTTCTAAGGGTCATCTAGTGAAACAATTAAAAGGCTAGTTAGGAATGAATAGTTCTCTTTAGTCTGAAACTCACCAAAATCACTTCAAGGGTATTAATTTATGTTGACTAAGATATCTTGATCATATTATCCAGAAATTATATTGTTACTAAGTCACAACAGTATCAATTGTGCTCTGATTTGAGAATGATCTTGTGGTAGAGAGGGGCTCATCTTAATTAGCTCACCTGAAGATCTTTTGGCAAAATGGTATTCTTCCTGAGTGAATTGATCCGTAGCCTCTCATCTGCATATTCATAGGCCATTTTTCGTCTCTTCACGTCACGCAACATTTTCCAGTCTACGTAATAACCTCGAACTTGGCCTGAAGGTGATGAAGGAACCATCTAAAAGATAAGGAACAAGGTGAAGGATCATCAGACCCAGGCTCTGCCAGTGTCTCTCATCCTGTGATCCCTTTTATTGACCATTTATGACCTAATAGTTTTTTTCCTAGTAATTTTGATCACTTTAATAGCTTAAACTAATAGACTCAATTCAAAATAAGTAACTTCTACAAATGTACATTAACCCAAAATGGTGGTAACTAATAATACCAATAAGGTGTGTTAAGAGAGTGAAAAATTTTCTTAGATTTTTAAATATAATTCTGTTTGACCTTTACTTAGGCTAATAGTTATATGGTTCAAAAACCAAAAAAAAAATAAAAAGAAACAGTGTAGACTCCCTCCCACCTCATCCCTTACCTGCCCAATGACCACCCCTCTACCTCCAAAGGTATCCATTACTAGATCCTGTATATCCTTCCAGAGATCTTTGTCTATACAAATACATATACATACTTCCTCCCCCATATTTCATGCCCTCCCCCCTTTTTTCTCATTTAACAATATATCTTGAAGATCTTTCATATCCATATGTTAAAAAGTCTCTCCAATTTTTTTAGGTTGCATATTCCACTGTCCATACAGTAGACCTGACAAGGTTCAGGGCACACGACCTCAAAATATGACACCTTGACATTATTGAGTACATCAAGCACAAGGAATTTGAGAAACAGCAGGTGCAGGAAAGACTTTCTGACCTCCCCCTAAAGCAGGTGTTAAGACCTTCAGGTGAGAGGTGCCCTCCCTATACCTGACAAGGGTTTGGGGAGGGGGGTATGGGCAACCTTATCATTGAAGATGGAGGGACACGAAGAGGAATCAAAGAACAGGCCTTGCTGTTTGCGGAGTTTACCACACTTAGCTCATACTCCTATCACATTTCCCCACAACTTCCCACTTCACCAGACCTAGCATTAATATTCAGGTTTAACCCTTTGGTTATCACTTCCTTATAAAGGCTCATGTATCATGTAAAACTTACACATTTGTATGCTTCTCTCCTGTTCATGTCTTTTGTTACAGGGGCCCCAGCTGAGAACTTAGAACAGAAGGAAATGATTTTTTCCTCCTCACAGATGCATCATTTATTTAATCTGGGACCTCCTGGCAGACATCTAGATCACACCTCACCTTTTATCGTTAAACAATGCTGCACTGAGTAACCTCCTACATAAATTATTTCACATGCATTCCTATAGATTAGCAAGGTACATTCTTGGAAGCAGAATTGCTGGGGTAAAGGGTACTTTGAAATTATCACTGGCCTAAAATTTCTTAGCACAAGTTGTCTAGTAATAAGACAGTTTGTTTCTCACTGTCACATGTTTACTTGGTAAAAAGAAAACTACAGGCCCAAAATGTTATCACTTAGGCTGGGTCCTCAAACAAGAGCTTAATACCTAATCTACTTGCAGTTTCAACCTCCCCCAGAAAAAGTCTTAACTGATTGGGCAGGACTTTTCTGATGGGTGCCAATACGTGCCACCTGGGCCCCATCCCCCAAAGGAAGATGAAGCCGTCTGCATAAGACCCCCTGCTCCCCCTGCCAAGGGAAAGTGACCTTGCCTGAAGACAACTAATGATTTTCTTGCCTCACCCTTCCTATAAAAAAAACCCCCTCCCATTCTCTACACTTCCTTAGAGGTCCCTTCTACTTGCTGCTGCCTGATCGTGAATCACTTAGTAAAGCCAACTGGATCTCCAAATTTACTTGGTTAAATCTTGTTTTAACAGATTTAGCCGTAGCGTTGGGCTATGAATCGAATTTCTCATGGCATTCCGGGACAATGAGAAACACAGGCATGGCACCCTGTGAACCCTTTTGAGTTTGGTCCTTCTTGCCATTTCTGAGAGCCACTGCTAAGCCCCCTAGGTTTCAGCTTTGCTCCTCTTGCATTCGAGATACTTATCTAATATTGGCTTTCTAGTCCGGGGTTAATGGGTCCATCTAGATCAATGGGGATCCTAACAGAGCGCCTGTCTTTCTCACTTGGTTTAGTCTGCAATTCCACATTGGAATCCCTTCCCCAGTTCCAGTCTGCATTCCCCACTTACTGGGACTTACTGGTTTAGTCCTTTTCCCATTTCCTGTCTGCAGTCTCCCTGAATGGAGTCTGCTGGTTTAGTGCACATTGGTAACTGCTGATGGCGCACACGGTCTTCTGTTGGCCAGTCTGCAGTGACATGTTTTCATTAGTGCTGGTGTGGCAAGGTGCATGTTTGTTTATCTTGTTTTGTGTGTACCTAAAGGCTATAGCTAATGGGGATCTTGAAGAACAAAAAGCCACAAAAAATTGGTGGGCACAGGTCCAGCGTGTGAGACCGCAGAGCGCTCGCCATCTAACTCAAAGACTCCTGTGTTAGGGGTAAGTGGTCACAGAAAGGGTTAGATGGACGGTAGGTCAGCAGCCAACCTCAAGAAACTTCCATGCAATGAGATACTATGTAAAACACAGTTCCCAACCCTGAAGCACACCCCTCCTACATAGGAGATTGGCTCTGAGAGACCGAAAGCATAGCTAAAGTGGTCATTGTGCACACAAACACCAAAACAAACCAACACTGGGTAGGGGTTTTCCTTTCTTCTTGTTCTCTGACCTAAGAGTTTGGCTTTGTGACTGGTGAGAATATTCTCTGTGGTCTTCATCATCTGGAGGGTGCACTTACTGCGGTGCACATTTATGGCCAGTTGAACAGACTGGGGATCTGTTACAAGCAGCACTCTCTGTTGGGCAGTGCCGGCTCTCAGGAGAGTTTGTCCCAAGAGGTCCCAGCCTATTAGGGGCCTTTGTCATCTCAACCTGTATTGCTTGTTAGTGCTAGAAAACCCATTCCAGACTACCTGCTTGGTATCACAGATTAGGCAGTTGTGACTAAAGGCGATTCACGTTTGTGGGAGAGTGGAGACCGTGTGCACACATTATTCTTATCACTTATGCAATGAAATCTTTGTTTTTTTTTTTTTTAAAGATTTTATTTATTTGACAGAGAGATACATAGCGAGAGAGGGAACATAAGCAGGGGGAGTGGGAGAGGGAGAAGCAGGCTTTCCGCGGAGCAGGGAGCCCGATGTGGGGCTCGATCCCAGGACCCTGGGACCATGACCTGAGCCGAAGGCAGACGCTTAACGACTGAACCACCCAGGTGCCTGAAGTCTTTGCTTTCTTAGACTATTCTTCGGAGTAAACTTTTGGATCAAGGTGGCTGCATTATCTACGCCCTCTGGATGCCCCTTGTCTTTGGGTAAGCCATAAAAGGCTTATTGGTATGAGTTGATACTAAAATGAATGAGACCCTACTTGTCAATGGCCAAATGATGGATCCTTTAAATTGGCTATATTTGAAAAAAAAAAATTCTTTAGAAAGAGCTCTCAATTGCCTTATTAGTATAATGGCTGGCCCTAGGGACTCCTTTGACAAGAAAAAGAACAAAAATTAGACTTAAGACAAATAATGTCCACATCCAATCAAAATTCCCCTCCTAAAAATCCAGCCCCATCTGCTGGTTTTAACTTCCCCTTTCCTACAAAATTTACAAAGAGCACTCCAGCCTAATCTTTAGGTTCAAAGTATATATGCTACTCCTGTAAATGTGAAAAGCCAGACTGTGAATTTAGCAGAATCACTGGGAACAAACTGTAGGGTTTGGTTTACTGTAACCAACACCTGCCAGCTTCACGCATTTTCACACAATGATCTTTGTAGATATAACCTAGACACTTCCTCCCCCAACAAAGAATTCATGTCCCCTGAAAAGCAGCAAATTTTTTAAGGTATAAAGCTAATACTTAGTAACAGAAGTTAATAGATGCCAAGGTTGAATTGTATAAGCAGAAAAAAAGGTCTATTGAATGGCTTTATTTTATACAGATTTTACAAAGACAGAAATCCTTTAGTTCTCATTTTAGTTAAAAAATCTTCCTAATATGAAGAAACAAATCTAGTTAAACGGGTGGGCCGGTTTCTTGATATTCAGGCTGTAAATCAGTTCCTTGGAGAATTAAAAACTGTCTTTGTCTTACAAATCTCTACAAAACCAGAAATGAAACTCCAGAAACAAGTCAAAACCCAATCTTTACCAATGCCCAAACCTCGCCTAATCCTCTCAAAATGTTGTAAAAGACCAGGATATTGAAACAAAATTGTCCTCTTAAGAAAAAGGGTGTATTTTAGGGGCCCCTGGGTGGCTCAGTCAGCTAAGTGTCTGCCTTGGGCTCAGGTTATGATCCCGGGGTTCTGGGATCGAGTCCTGAGTTGGGCTCCCTCCTGAGAGGGGAGGTGAAAAATCTTATCACATCTCTGAAATGTAAGCACAGCCCACAATCACCTGAGACTGAAGGAAAAAAAAGTCCCTTTTATCTTTTTTTTTTTTTTAATATTTATTTATTTGAGAGAGGGAGAAAGAGAGAATCCCAAGCAGACTTCCCGCTGAGCGTAGAGCCCCTCGACGTGGGGCTTGAGCTCACCACCCAGAGATCATGACCTGAGCTGAAATCAAGGGTCCGATGCTTAACTGACTGAGCAGCCCAGGTGCTCCATGACAGAGGTCCTTTCAAAATACAAACTGCTAAAAGGGTTCTTAGGCTCAGACTTTAGCACCTCTGACAACAGAGGGATAGACTCCAAATCTCCACCTTGAAGAAAATTTGGATACTTTCTCTGTAAATTTTCTACCCCTATCTTCTCCAGAACCTAAGAGCAAACGCAAAACTACAGGGAGAAGTTTTTCATCCAAAAAAACAAAAAAATACAGGGAGGTGTTTAGAAATCAGGCCTATATGTCCTCTCCACAAATATTAGTAAAAACAAATGTTATAAATTTTTGTTTACATCTTGTCTATTTGTGTCCATTTATGTTGTAAATATTAGATATTTTCTCTACCTCCACATGGTACAGCTAAAATTAATTTGTAAAAGAGCTCTATTTAGTTGGTTTGAAGGCAAGTGCTTGTAAAATTTGTGCATTCTAAAACTCTCAGAAAGAAACTAACCCAAATGTGTTTTCAAGTTCATATGATATGAAAAAATACTTGAAATCAAAACTAGTTTGAAACAGACATGTCTTGGGGCACCTGGACGGCTCAGTTGGTTAAGCGACTGCCTTCAGCTCAGGTCATGATCCCAGGGTCCTGGGATTGAGCCCTGCATCAGGCTCCCTGCTTTACAGGGGAGCCTGCTTCTCCTTCTCCCTCTGCCTGCCACTCCCCATGCTTGTGCTCTGTCAAATAAATAAAATCTTAAAAAGCAAAACAAAACAGACATGTCTTTCAAGGTATCAACATTAAATATAAAACTTTATTCTACCTAAGCTATCTCTTAGAACATCTGCCCACCAAAAAATACCACCTTAGGATAATGCTTTGTCTAATGTTTAATGAAGTTCTGGCAGGTAATCTAAACTTAATTATTTAACAAATAGACTAAATAAAGAGTTTTAGGTAAGTTTTTAAAATAGTGTCCCCAAATCCTTTTGATAACTTGAAACCTTAAAGTTTTGTTAAGTTAAACAATGAGTTAAGTTAAATTCATTAAATATCTAGATCATTTCCAAATAAGACAAAATACTAAAACAGTAATTACTAAACACAGGTTTATCTACTTTTGGATTCTTATTACAGAAATCTAAAAGATATTTAGATGTGTTAATGGTACATGAAAAAAATTAAAAAGGCATACATATGCTTCTACATAGTATGAAATGTAACCATAAATTTGCAAATTTAAGGAATGCTGGTTAACAGATCATTCACAATTGCTTACCTTAGTTTTTACTACAAATTAAAGTTTCCAAAGTTAAAAACGTTAATTAATATATGTAATTAAAGCTACTAAAAATAAGGGGAACATCTCCATATGCCAAAAAAGGGAGTAAAAAACGTATGAGAAATAAAGATGAATTTTTTGTTAAGGGGAAAAAATTAATTTTGTCCTAAAATAAGGCTGGTTGTTTAAAGAAAAACAGGACAAAAATGGAATGCAGGGGAAAACAGTTATAAAAGGTTTGTGGAAAAGGAATCTTTGAAAAGGAATTTAAAATGTGGTCAAGCTGGTTAAGATTAAAATGAATTTATTTAAAAAAATGAGTTTTGGGGTGCCTGGGTGAAGACAGTCAGTTGAGCATCCGACCCTTGGTTTTGGCTCAGGTTGTGATCTCAGGGTCGTGAGATCAAGTCCTGTGCTGGGCTCCATGCTCAGCGTAGAGTCTGCTTAGGACTCTTTCTCCCTCTCCCTCTGCCCCTCCCCTCTGTGCTCACATTCTCTCTAAAATAAATACATAAAAAAGGACACTCAACTGAGCCACCCAGGTACCCCTGAATAAATAAAATCTTAAAAAAAAAATGAGTTTTGGGGGCACCTGGGTGGCTCAGTTGGTTAGGTGACTGCCTTCGGCTCAGGTCATGATCCTGGAGTCCCAGGATCGAGCCCCACATCGGACTCCCTGCTCAGCGGGGAGTCTGCTTCTCCCTCTGACCCTCCCCCGTCTCATGTTCTCTCTCTCAAATAAATAAATAAAATCTTAAAAAAAAAAAAAAAAAGTTTTAAGGGGCACCTGGCAGGCTCAGTCCATACAGCATGTGACTTTTGATCTCGGGGTCATGAGTTCAAGCCGTTGGGTATAGAGCTTACTTTAAAAAAAAAAAAGGAAAAAGAGGAGTGCCTGGATGGCTCAGTTGGTTAAGTGTCCAACTCTTGATATCAGCTCAGGTCTTGATATCAGCTCAGGTCTGGATATGAGAGTCCTGAGTTCAAGCCCCACATTGGGCTCCATGCCCAGTGTGGAGCCTACCTAAAATATATATATATATATATTTTTAATATCAAAAGCTGATACCGGGGGTGTTTGGGTGGTTCAGTTGGTTAAGCATCAGACTCTTGATTTCAGCTCAGGTTATGATCTCAGGGTCTTGAGATTGAGCCCCGTGTGGGGCTCCATGCTCAGCGGGGAGTCTGCTTGAGATTCTCTCCCTCCCCTCTCTCATTCATGCTCTCAATCTCTCTCTCTAATATGATCAAATAGCACCTGGGTCACTCAGTTGGTTAAGCGTCTGCCTTTAAAAACAGTCTACCAGCAATGTCTGATCTGTTTGGGCCATAATCCTGGAAAAACTGTTTGTGCTCCCAGAGGCTTCAGACCTCCTTATGTACCCTTTGTGCACCTGCAGCTGGACTTCATTTAACTGCCGCTTAGCATGGGTGATCAATGTTCTTGTTATTGTATGTGTTTTCTGAATGGGCTGAAGATTTCCCCCCTGCGGTATACTTTCCATGATCTCCAAAGACCAAAGCACCCACTTCACTGGGTAAATCATACAAACATTAACAAAAACCTTGCAAACCTTTTGGGATTCTATCAGTATATGATATTCTGCTGCTCTCTTGTTGTATCATGCTAGTATGACTAGCTACTGCAAATCTTTAGTACCTTAAGCTAAACCCTATCATCAACAGGTAAATAAAGCTTTCTCTGAACCCCAGTTCAAAGGATCCTGTTGGTTACAGTCTGAAGCCTGAGGACTGGGCGTTTTAGAAACATCATCAGAGAAAAACAACTTTCGAGCCCCACCGGAGAAGACCTTACCAAGTACTCCTGACCAGTGACACTGCTGCAAAACTAAAAGGTATTAAGCCTTGGGTACACACAGCTAAAAAACACTCCACCTGACACCTGGCCCATACAGATGCTGCAGACCTCTAAACCAAATTGACAAGTAAGAGAAGTAACTGACACTGAGGTAGACTGCTTCCACTCAAGATGACAGATCAAGACTTCATACTATAAACATAAAACCCATTCTCCTTTTCCTTTAATCTGGCACTCCCTGGGAAGATTAACATTCTCAGGCCCTTGCTAAGAGGGGGTAACCTCTTCTTTCAGGCTAGGAGAAAATCTAACTGTGCTCTTAACTTTTCACAAGTAAAATAAGACATCTAATTGGTCAATTCCCCTGAATTCACACTGTTGAGTTAAAAAGGATCTACGAGGAGGCTTTCATGACTCAGGATTTATTCCTTTTGACAGGTCTGTATTTCTCTGGTTAGGGATAAACATAAACGAAGCTACGATCAAGAACTGCTCCTTAATTCTTAAAATTATTGCAAAATCCGTTGCTAAAGCAATTGCAGCCCAATAAAAATCCTTACTCTAGCAAAGTTGCCCTTGATAGGAAAGTAGCTCTTGATTATCTTTTTTTTTTTAAAGATTTATTTATTTATTTATTTGACAGAGAGAGACACAGTGAGAGAGGGAACACAAGCAGGGGGAGTGGGAGAGGGAGAAGTAGGCTTCCCGCTGAGCAGGGAGCCCCACGCGGGGCTCCAACCCAGGACCTTGGGATCATGACCCGAGCCGAAGGCAGACACTTAACGACTGAGCCACCCAGGCGCTCCACTCCTGATTATCTTTTATCTGAGCAAGATGCCTGTCCTTATGGCCCACCACCACCTGCTATGCATGGGTTAACACTTCTGAGGAAGCTGAAACTCAATTACATAAGATCATAGAACAAGTGACTTGGCTTAAAAAGGTAGCTCCTTCCCTGGGGTCTTTGACTTACTTAATTTTGATTAGTTTGGGTCTTGGGGACTATAGCTCTATAGTACACTCCATATACTGGGAATTATCTTGCTTATATTAATCATAGTAATTCCCTGGTGCATTGTATTCTCTCAAAAGTTTTAAATGCATGTTCACAGCTGCTAACCATCAGGCAAATGATCTAAGACTTGAAACATCTGGGGGTGCCTGGCTGGCTCAGTCGGTATAGTGTGCGACTCTTGATCTTGGGGTTGTGAGTTTGAGCCCCACATCAGGCACAGAGATTACTTTAGAAATTTTTTTAAAAATTAAGAGATTTCAAACATCTAAGGAACAAAGAAAATGACCAACTTAAAAAACATGGACCTGAAGCCATGACCTGTGAATATCCCAGAGGTTAAGCCAACATGTCATGACCTATGGATATCACACAAAGGAATAACAAAAACTGCTATAACTTGAGGTTGGTCACTGAGTAGAGCTAAGGCCTTCAATTCAATTCAATTCAATTCACATTTCTGTTAAGCTGAGAGTTTGACCAAAAGGGGGTAATTAATTGTAAAAAACAGAAAACCACAGACCCAAATGGCATTACTTAGGCTGAGTCCTCATACCAGAGCTTAATACCTAATCTACTCACAGTTTCAACTTCCCCCACAAAAGCATTCTTAACTGGTCAGTCAGGAATTTTCTGATGGGCACCAAAAGTGCCACATGGGCCTTCCATCCCCCAAAGGAAGAGGAGGTAATCTGCATGATAAGACCCCCTGCTCATCCCCCTAAGGGAAAGTGACCTTGCCTGGAACAATCCTTTTCTTTTGCTAATAACTTTCTTGCCCTACCCTCTTTCCTATAAAAACCCTCATTTTGTACAGTTCCTGATTCCAGAATCATTTAATAAAGGCAATTAGATCTTCAAATTTACGCAGCTCAGTTTTGTCTTATAATATAGTGGAGGCATAGATTGTATAGCCCACTAAAACTCAAGTCTGGCTTGAAAAAAAATACACTCAAAACATTTATTGCTCTATTACATTATTTCTTCTGTGAATGTTTTATGTCTTTTGCCTACATTTAGACTGTCAATATTTTAGGTTTCTAACAGTACTATATACATTAAGATTACATTCCATTCTGTTCTGTACACATCCTATTTCCTATTTCCCCCCCCCACCTGTGTTTACCTCCCAAAAAGCTTTCAGGGGGCCCTCTTCAACTTATGCTCTACAGTCATCAAAATATTCTAAATCCTCAACTTCTCTTAACATCTTCAGATATTTGCTCTAGCTGAATCCTGAATCCCTCCTGATGGCTTCCCCTGTAGTTTTTTCTCCCGTGACTGGGCACAGAGGTAGGGGAAAGTGTATTCCTTGCTCTTTAGGGCAGCTCCCAAGCCTTCCTTCCTGAAAGGATCTCCGACTCTCGTGCTTTTGGCTTATATCTCCCATCACCCCTCCCTCCTGCACTCATCTACCACAGCCCCTCCCTTTCATTTATCACTGAATCTAGATCCTGGCTCACTGTCACCCTCCAATATTCTTGTCCTAACTCCTGGTGACCTCAATATACATGGAATTATCTCCTAATTTCTCTGTTCCTTGAACTCCTCTCCTCCAGGGATTTCTGTACTCCCTTCCATGCCCTAGGTCTTTTATTACCAGTAAGTCCAAGCTTTCTGTTATCTCAGTTTTGGTGCCTCGTTCTCTATCACTTCTTTCTGGCTTGCTCCTTCAAACACCCCAACAACAACCCCTGTGAGGTTTTTAATTCATTGTCCTACCACTTTTCACTCACAGCTTTTGATTTCCTGTCTCCCTCTTACCCAGCCTGAATTCCACAGTGCATAAATACAATGTTGTACTTCATACAAACTCAACTCCCTGGCCTGTCTCTCTCTCACACATCACTGTACTTGCTCCAATTCTTGTCCCTAGTTTTCCTGTCTGCTCCTATTTCACACCATTTCCTCTTCCCTTAAATCCCTAACACTTGCTCCCACACCCTCACACTCCACTGATGACTTCTCTTTAATTACAAAATTAGAAGCAATCAGGAGAGAATTTCCATAAACACCCACTACTACATCTACCCACTTACTAGCTTCTGTAATCATATGCTGTACATTCTCTCCTGTTATTAAATATCCACTCTTATAGTAGCTGCTAACCACATATTACTACTGAACATTTGAAATGTAACTAGTGCAACTGGGGAATGTAATTCCTAATGTTATTTAATTTTAATTCATTAAATATTTAAACTGAAGCAGTTGTAAATATTAAACAACTTTACTGTTTTGGTGGGACATTTTCTATTTTAATGGTGGAAAATTTGGCATCCAAACTGAGATGTGCTGTAAGTAAAATGCAAAATGGATCTTGAAGATCTAGTATGAAAAAAGAATGTAAATTTCTCTTAAGTCATCTTCGTAGATTACATATTGAAATTAATATTTTGGATATGCTGGCTTCAAATATTTAAAATTAATTTCATGTTTCTTTTTACTTTTTTAACATGGCTACTAGAATGTTTTTTTTTTTTTTAAGATTTTATTTGTTTGAGAGCGAGCGAGCGAGAAAGAGAGCACGAACAGGGGCCGAGGAAGGGGGACAAGCAGACTGCCCTCTGATCAGGGAGCCCAACGTGGAGCTCCATCCCAGCACCCTGGGATCATGACCCCAGCCAAAGGCAGACGCTTAACCGACTGAGCCACCCAGGTGTCCCTAGAATATTTTAAATTAACATATGCAGTTGGCATTATATTTCTACTGGACAACACTACCACGGAGGATGAACTGTCCACGTTTAAACAATGGAACATGAGGCCCATCACCTCTTACCTACAAAAAGGTACAGCTCCACAATTATTCCTTCTCTTAATTTTTCCCACGCTACAAGATCTTTCCCGTTAACACAAAAAGTTACTTTTGTCACGTGAAAAAACAAGGACACAAAACACCCACTCTTAACCCACCTCTCCTTCCAGCAGCTACCGACCCATTTTTCTGCTCCCCTTGCAGCAAAACATCAAAGCAAAGGTTTGTCTATACTCATAGTCTCCCAATTTCTTTCCTCTCGTTCTCTCTCGAACGCTTTGGCCCCCATCACGCCATTGAAACTGCTATGATGAGGACTCCCAACAACTTCCACGCTGCTAAAACCAACCGCCAATTCTCAGCCCTTTTAATTGGCCTGTCAACTTTGAGCACAGAGCTGACCACTCCCTGCTCCCTGAAATGCTGTCGTCGCCTGCTTCCGGGCCACCAGTCTCTGGGCTTTCCCTCTCCCTCGAGGAACTCCCGTCAGGTCTCCTTTGCTCGGCTCTCCTCGCTTAACACTGGAGTCCCTGGGGCCTCAATCCACGGACCCCCTTCTCTTCTCCACCTGCACTCACTTCTGTATAAATCGGCGGCAATCTGCAGCTTTCAATGCCTGTCAGAGGCTTACGAACATCAAATTTACATTTGCAGCTCGGACCTCCCTTGGGGCGGATCCGCACTGGGTGCCACAGGTGGCCGAGTGGTAGAGGACCCGTGGGTTTGGGGATTCAGTGGGGAGGACGAGGCGTGGGGCTAAGGGCGCGGGCCTGACCTTCCGGACGGTCCGCAGCAGAGAGCCCAGCATGGAAGCCGCCATGTTGTCCGCCACAAACGCCGAACCGCCGGAATTTTATTGACGGCCCAATGCGGCGACGACGCGAGGGGCGGGGCCCGGGGCGCAGGGGGCGGGGCGGAGGGCGGGTCTTTAGCCTACAGCTGGAGGGCTTACTTATTGGCTTTGCGTTCTCGCGGTATTTCACGGAACATGAGCAAGTTACAAATCCGGAAGTGCGACTTTGATACTGTTGGTGCAGTGTGGCGCTCCTCGCTCCTTGCTGCCGTACCTTTAGTTTTAGATGCTGTTAAACTGCCTTCGTCCCTACCCAGCTACTTTCCTTCCGCTCCCCCTCAGCTCTTCGTCACCAATTTCTCTTCCCCAGAGTCCTTCCCGGTCTCGCTCAACCTGCTCCCCTTCCTCCCATGTCTTCCATCCAGTTTAGGGTGCTGTGTGCCATAAACCTAGAATTATTGCCAGCTCCTCCTTCTCTGTAATTCCCTCTGTAGATTTTCAAATCTTTTCTGTCCACTATAATGGCGATAATGATTGTATTGGTGATTCCTGTTTATATGTCTAGGATTTTTATATACATTAAAACACTTGGAGTTCTGGGCGGGGGGAGAGGAAGGAACATTGCCTTTTAAAAACTGCTTTTTTCAGGGGCGCCTGGCTGACTCAGTTGGAAGAGCATGCGACTTTTGATCTCCCAGTCATGAGTTTGAGCCCCACGTTTGGTGTAGAGATTACTTAAATATTTTTAAAAACTGCTGTTTTCAGTCTGTAGTACAGGGAACTTTTAGGTCATCTTCATAGCAGATGGCCTTGGTCTGGAATGAACACTTTGAGAGGCCCCTTTCCTTTGGATGTAAGGGTAGTACCACCTACCCACGGTTCTGGTAGAAGAGTATCAAGGAGTATGTATTAGCTTGGCACAGACCTGTATCTTAGATGTGTTGATGGGTGAAGTGAGGAGATGCCCATGTGCTATTTACATCTTCTGGGAAGGAAGTTGAACGCAGGCTCCTTTCTTTAAAGTTCCAAGTTTATTGGAACATAGCTAATGGACAGGGGAGGAACTGACTGAGGCCAGCTGGCAGCAAAGAACAACATGAGTCCCTGTCATGGTAGAATCAGAAAATTCTCGGCCATGTCAGGTAAGTATCTATTCCTAATGTTAGCCCTTGCAATGCCTTTCTCTCCCCGCAATTGAGTCATCTGTAATCAGCTCACAAAATGAGTGAGCCAGCTTTGTGTACGGTGGGCTTTTGCTTCCTTTCTGTAAAAATAGTTCTGAAAGCATCTTTAATCAGCATTAGTAGCTTTAAAAAAAATGTGCTAAAATATATACAATATAAAATTTCCCATCTTAATCATTTCTAAGTGTATAGTTAGATGGTATTAAGTACATTCACATTATTGTACAACCACCACTACCATCCATCTCTAGAACTTTTTAATCCTTCCAAGCCGAAACTCTGTACCCATTAAACAGTAACTATCTTCCCCCACCTCCATCCCCTGGCAACCACTCTTCTGCTTTTGGTCTCTATGAATTTGACTCAACGTACCTCATGTAAGTGGAAGCATACAGTTGTCCTTTTGTGACTGGCTTCTTTCACTTAACATAATGTCTTCAAGTTTCATCCACGTTGTAGCATGTGTCTGTGCTTAATTACCTTCTATGGCTGAATGATACTCCATTGTATGGATAGACCACATTTGGTTTCTCTACTCATCTGTTGATGGACATTTGCTTTGCTTCCACATGTTGGATATTGTGAATAATGCCACTCTGAACATGTATGTACAAATATCTTAAACAGCATTTGTATTTTATTAGGCTGTTTTTCACTTTAAGAAGTGATTAAAGTAATTTAATGGCTAGGAAGATAGGCAGCTCTCAGATAGTAAGAGAAGACTTCAGGGTCTTCTTTAATTAATAGTGTTGGTTTTGTAAAACAGCCTAAGATTTCTCCTCCAAGGCACTCTCCTCCATTAATGTGTATGGAAGCTTGGCAAGGCTAAAGAAAGCTCACTTTACCTTGAGTTTTCCTAAGAAGTCTGTGATTCTCTGTGGCCATTTGACAGAAGGCGGGGAAGGCTGTTGGCCATACTGTCCTGGAATTCTAGGATCAGAAGAATCATCATCATTCACGCATTTATTCATCCAGTATATACATATGAATTGCCTATTATGTACACCTATTATGTATGTGTATGTATGTGTGTGAGGTGGGGTAATAAGAGAATCCCTGAACTTCTGATACTTATATTCAACTGGAGATTACAGAGTTAGATAGAGGTGGAGATAATCACCATTGTCAGGTATATTGCCTTTGCTTTTTCTGTATAGTCTTTCCTTTAGAGGCTAGAAGGTACTTTTTGGATGGATAGATAAAAATTTAATTGTTAAATATTTTGAGATTTGATTATGAGAAAGTATTCTAGTCACCATGTTGGTTCTGAGCCTAATGAAATAAGAACCATTGAATGGGTGATGAAATTGAGGCACAGAGAGGTTAGGTGACCTGCCAAACTCACAGAGCTAGGCCCAGACCAAGGCCCATGCTCCTAAGCCTCACTCCACATTGTCCTCTGGAGGAGCAGCCGCTCAAGGACAAAGGCCTGACTTCTGTTATGGAATCCTTGCTTATAAAACATATCCATTGGTTAATGTCCAGATTTCATGCCATTTCAATCAAAACTTTCAATGGGGAGGAAAAAAACTTCCAATGAATTTTTTTTCTTAACAGGATAATTCTAAAATATATGTACAAGAATATATACTTGGATGAGAATGCAATTTTTTTTTTAAGATTTTATTTGTTTATTTGACAGAGAGAGACACAAGCGAGAGAGGGAACACAGCAGGGGGAGTGGGGGAAGGAGAAGCAGGCTTCCCGCCGAGCAGGGAGCCCATCGCGGGGCTCGATCCAGGACCCTGGGATCATGACCCGAGCTGAAGGCAAACACTTAACGACTGAGCCACCCAGGCGCCCTGGGAATGCAATTTTTGAAAAGGAAAAATAACAAGTAGCCTTGCTCTACCTGATATTACAATGCCATATATTATAAAGCCATAGTGATTAAACTAGTGTAGTACTGGAACCAAAATCAGCAGACAGGTAAAGGAACTAAAGCAGGGAGGCCAAAAAGAAATCCCAACGTAATTACAATTGCTTATGTATTAAAGGAGGTGTAACAGTCATTGAACAAATGGTGGTAGAACAACTAGTTAAGGATTCAGGGGAAAAAAAATTGTTTCTTTAAAGATTTTTTTTTTTTTTTAAGTAATCTCTACACCCAGTGAGGGGCTTGAACTCACAAACCCAAGATCAAGAGTCATATGCTCTACTGACTGAGCCAGCCAGGCACCCCAGGAAAGTGATGTTTAATTATATCTTTACCTCTTACCATAGGTAGATTAAGGAGTTAAATATTCACAAAGCTTAAAAAGAGAAACAGAAGAAAATATAGATGAATATCTTTTTATTTATTTATTTTTAAAGATTTTATTTATTTATTTGACAGAGAGAGACACAGCGAGAGGGAACACAAGCAGGGGGAGTGGGAGAGGGAGAAGCAGGCTTCCCGCCAAGCAGGGAGCCTGATGCAGGGCTCAGTCCCAGGACCCCAGGACCATGACCCGAGCCGAAGGCAGACACCTCAACAACTGAGCCACCCAGGCGCCCTGATGAATATCTTTTTAAACTTAAATCCCAGTAGACAATCCTCAGAATGTCTAATAACATGACAAATATTCAACCTCACTAGTTTCCAAGAGAATGCAAATTAAAACAATGACAATTTAATCTAGCAAATTAACAAAGGTTAAAAGAAAGTTCAGTGTTATTGTGGGTGTGGGGAAATGGATAATTTCCTATCCTAGCAGTAGCAATATAAATTGGCATAACTTGTCCATAAAATAATTTGGCAAGAGTGTTTTCAAAATTTTTATCTATTGACCCAGTTATACCACTTTTAGGAATCTATTTCAAGAGAATGCTAAGAAACTCTAGAATTTTATAAGGACATGTGCCATGGGATTATTTAGAATAAGAACAAATAAGTATCAGTCTAATA